CTGCACCACTTCACCAATTCTTGTGACTTCAGTTTGTGCTTCAAAGCTCTTGAATCCAAAACAAGCAGCCAAAAATAATGGTCCACCCACTGTACATGATACAGCTGTTCCCAAAAACCTTGCGGTTTTGGGAAGGCTGTATTTCTGAAGAATTTCTTTTTTTGCCTCTTTTTTTAGCGCCACTCTCTCCTGTACATGGCCCTTTATGGCCACAGTACTTCAGGCCACAGGACCCAACTCCCACATTTTTTGAGTTGAGTGTGTGGGAGTTGGATCATTGTAATCCTCTCCATTCTTTGGTCAGGGGCCGCTCACCACATGGGGGCTCTGCCAACCCCTGCCTGGCAGCTGGCAGGCATCGGGACCCACACCAAGGCCTTGGAAGCCAAAACAGAACCTGTACTGTAATCTGTACAGGCCGTGAGGCGTGAAAAATTGATGGTGCTAAAATTTTTCTTCTGAAATACATGCCTCCCAAAACCGCAAGTTTTTTTGGGAACAGCTGTACATAGCTGAACAAAAACTTACTGTATTAAAGTCCCAAAAGTTCAATAAAAAACTGAAAAGTTTTAAAAGTTACAAAGTTCAGCAAAGTTGTCATATTCTTTAGGCAGTTGCTGCATCTTGAGCACAGACAACAGCTCAGTCAATTGACTCAACAGATGCCGGTCTCATCATTTTGCTTGGGTCAATCAACCAACACCCAGACATGCAAGGATGAGTTGTGCACAAGTGTAGCACTAGTCCACGTTTACCCCATTGTTTTGAGCTCTCTAGCTGTGCCAGGTTTTTACAGCTAACACAGGAAAGCTTGCGGGTTTGCGAGCTTGAAAATTACGACCTCATGCAGGGTCCTGTACATCTTCCAAAACTTCAAATTCTTCAGACGTACAGCCAGGCCAGCGGCACCGATTGGACCCAACCGGCCCCCTTGGGGGGAAGCTCTGCCACAGCAGGGCCACGGAATGGAGGGGGAATTGTAACGTTTGAAGTTTTAGTTAACGAAATCTTTTATTTATTGATAAAACTTACTGATTTAGTAGCTATATACTTACTATATTTAATAGTTGGTTATCATGCGAATCTTTTATAATTAGTTGATTTCATTATAATGATCCTGATTTCATTATAAGTTGATTCGGTTATTGTTTTCCTTGTTATTATATATGTGATTGTTGTTTCTCTTTTGTGTCTTTTCCTTTCTTTTCCTCATCGCAATTTTCTTTGTTTTATTTATCATCATTACATCTCAATCCTTGAAATAAAAGTCTTAAATTCTTTTCCTTATAAAACCCTTTCAAGAGTTTATCTTTCTTTAGAAAGTAAACTACCCTCTACTCTTTCATAATATAGACGGTTTACTCTCTTGAGTAAACTTATAGTCATTCAAGAAAAGAAAGTAGTAGGCGGGCTCTCACAGGAATGGACTGAACTTTCCATCAGGATTCTGATGGTGTTACTCTCATCACCTGAAAGTGAGTGACAAAAAAGATAGCTGATTTGATCAGAGGTGATCCATACATGCATGTACCTGTATTCTTCCAAAGCTTCCAGCTGTTGTCAGTAGATTTTTTTTTTCTGACTTCGGAGCCCGCAAGCTTTCCTGTGTTAGCTGTACATCTACCGGTACCTTACCCGAACTTGACACAAGTCTCTGGCTGCGGCGGGCGCATCTGGCAGCGTAGCGCTGGCCAGGCGGTTCCCGAAGGGAACTCCCCGCAGGGGAGACTTGGGCCAGAGGTCGATGAACTCAGGTGCTGAGTTTGGATTGTTTTGGTGGGAGCGTCACAAGATTTGAAATCCTGACGCTCCCTCAAAACTTTCTTGATGTTTGGTCTGGAAATATGAAAGACCTGCCTGATCTTATTGGAGGACTTCCCGTCGGTCTGGGATCCTAGATTTAGCCTTCCTAAATCCAGATTCCAAATCTTGTTTGCTGATGAGAAGTCAATGTCACTTGATTCTCTTCACCAAATTGAGTTTGGGATCTAGGATTAGACCTTCCAAATCAAGGGTTCCAGATCGACGGGAAGTCCTCCATTGATCAGGCCAAATTTCAAAGTTTTAGAATCACAACAGGAATTAATAATGATTTTCTAAAATTAAGGTTTGAACTTTTTTCAAGCTCAAATGCGGGGTTTGCTCAACTTGGGCCCACCAAAAGAAGCCAAGTTGAGTGGAAAATTCAACCTTTTCAAAAACATTCTATAAATGATTAGCCAACATAACAAAAAAACTGAACACAGGGAAATGTGGACAAGAAGCAGGCTTTCCCTGACCCGGAAGGAAATTACATGGATGTGAATGGAGGAGTGCTGAGAGTGGAAAACCCACAAAAAAGTGAGTTTTCAGCCCAATTTTGGAAACTCAGCACGCGGGGATTGTCACATTTGTCTTAGGCCTCCACTGGCGTGGACAGCTCTGCTGCTCGCTCCCGCTCCCGCCGTGGAGGCCTAGTTAGGCTCGTACCTTACCTGGCCTATAAATTGGACAACTTGCAGGATTGTCACAGCCGTACTGCAGTAGAGTATTTGTCGGACCCATCCGTCGCAGTTCTCAATCGGCATCAGATTTTTTTTTGCAAAACACCTTGGGTCTTCAACCCGGTCGGTCAGTGTTCAACGGTCTAGCTGGTTCTCTTGGTTTCAATTCTAGAAAAGACATTAGGGTTGCTGTTACAAAACTACTTGATTCCTCATGTGGGTCCTGAGTCAGACTGTTTGAGATCATATAACGGCATGTAATGTCACCTGACACAAGCCTCCACGCTCCCCGCTCCATGAGTCACTGACCGTGAGGTTCTTCCCTTTCCGGATCTGCTCATACTACGTACTCATGTCTCTTTACTCGCTACTGCAGATTTAATTAGCCAAACTTACAAATGTAACAAGATTTTGCTTGGAATGCGAACTCTCCTATTATGTAAATGTTCTGGTACCGTTGGAGGACATGGCACGGTCTGTCGCCATCGATAGAGTTGAGCGGCCTTATAAAAAGTCTCGGCTGAATGGTTAATTTGGGTTTTGGCCTACCAAAATTACGAACCGGACCTTTCTTCTCAGGATCAAACTTGTATTAACCAGCCATGCCTTGCCCCCAGATTACCTTGAGCTTCCCGCCTCACCTTCAGCTGGAGCCAGTGACCTTAGAGGTGCGCATGTATTTTATCAACTGCCTCAATTTCCTCTTGAGGATTTAATGCAATCACTATGGTGGTGCCGGTGGGGATACTAATGGTCGTTGCAATTCATGTAGACCGGTTTATTTATTAACAACAAATTCGTCGAGTCAGCTAGTAAAGGGACCTTGTCAGTCAATCCGCTCACCTCATGGAGGGCTTCTCTGTTGGCGATTCAACTGATGCCTCTTTGACTTGTTTGTTTCAATCCTTGGATGGGTTTTATCCAGCGAGACAATTAACCCAACCAACGGGAAAGTGATTGGCTCAGTTTCAGAAGCAAAATCCAAAGATGTCGATGTCGCGGTCAAAGCGGCGTCAGAAGCTTTCGATAAGGTCTGGGGTCTCAAAACCCCAGGCGCGTCGAGAGGGAAGATGCTGATGCATTTGGCCGATAAGATCGAGGCTAATTTGGACACATTTGCGGTAAACATTTTTCTCGCTCCTCATCGTTGAAATTTTATGCTCCCCGAACAAGCATGTCTTGATTCTTACACGATGAACCACGACTTAGGCAATTGAAGCCATGGATAACGGCAAGGCTTTCACGATAGCCAAGGGGTTTGAAATCCCCGCAGCAGCAGAGTGCATGAGATACGTCAGTCGATGGTTTGAAATTTCACAAAATATCTCCTTCTTGGCAAAAGAAACAAAAAAGAGAATAACTTTGGCTTTGTTTTTTTCGCTTTTGCGGCAATCAGTATGGGGGCTGGGCAGACAAGAATACCGGCCAGACGATCGAAGTAAACGAGTCCAAGATGGCTTTCACTATCCACGAGCCAATCGGTGTGGTCGGCCAAATTATTCCTTGGTTAGTCCACTCCACCGAAATCTTCAGAAAGAAATCTTGGATTGAGCCGTTTAGTCCTTCCTACCTTTGACTCATTTTGTCTCCTTTATTCATCAACCATCCCACTCTTGGACATTCAGTAATTTCCCGTGCGTAAAACTCATATTTAAGCTGAGGAGAGGGAGGATTTTTGTACAAGGAGTTTGATTGATCAGACCCAGCTAATTTTGTTTGTTGATGAATCTTTCTACAAAAGACTGCTCATGTTGTCGTGGAAGGTGGCACCAGCACTAGCGACGGGAAACACGGTGGTTTTGAAGCCATCTGAACAAGGGGTAAGTGAATTTTACAAACTATTTTTTACAAGACATATGTCTTGTAAACCGGATAGTTTGTAAAATTACATTTCCATGGGGGTAATGTATAATTTTACAAACCATCTGTGATTTTCGAAGGTTGTAAAAAATTGGTTTGTAAAATATGTTTGTTAAAATTGTATCACAACATTGCATTATGTAATTTTACAAACTATATCATGCAAGTCTTGCATGACTAGGTTGTAAAGTTGTATATCAAAGCTTAAATTTAGAATTTTACAACACATACGCTTGCAAACCTTAATGTCTTGTGAAACTACGTATGTAAAAAAGCTTATTGGTACCCTGTAATAGAATTTTACAACACATAGTTTACAATCTATCATTAAACTTTCAATACATATCCATTATGTAATAGAATTTTACAACACATAATTCACAAACTATCCTTGAAATTTCAATATATAAGCTTTAAGCTTCATACAAACATTTGGCAAGCATGGCATATCATGGGTGATATGCCAGGCCTTGTCCCCACCTCCCACCCTTTGTCAAACATACATTGCCGACAACTCAACATGATGAAGTACACAATCCCATCAAGGACCGGTTTTAACCAGTCCTTGATGGGAGTAAAGACCCCCAAACACTCCCATCGATGACCGGTTTTGACCGGTCATCAATGGAAACCCCCAAACACCCCCATTGATGACCGGTCAAAACCGGTCATCGATGGGAGGACATACCTCCATCGATGACCGGTCAAACCGGTCATTGATGGAGGTAAACAGTGAAACACCCCCATCAATGACCGTTGATTGGTCATCAATGCAATCACCCCATCAGTCATTGATGGGGGTGTTTACCTCCATCACAATAAACACCCCCATCGGTCATCGATGGGGGTGTTTACCTCCATCACAATAAACACCCCCATCGGTCATTGATGGGGGTGTTTACCTCCATCAATGACCGGTTTGACCGGTCATTGATGGAGGTATGTCCTCCCATCAATGACTGGTTTGACCGGTCATTGATGGAGGTATGTCCTCCCATCAATGACTGGTTTGACCGGTCATTGATGGAGGTATGTCCTCCCATCAATGACCGGTCAAACCAGTCATCAATGGTTTTTTTTTTTTTGGAGGGTTGCAAAACATGGTTTGTAAAATTCAATTTTACATACCATGTTGTGCAATTTTGCAAAACATAATTTACAACTCATATATGGGTTGTAAACTAATGGTTGCAAAATTCCATGACATCAGGCCAAAATGTACTTTTGCAAATCATATTGTTTGCAAGACATAAGGGTTGCAGCATATGTGCCTTAAAATTCAACTCCATGGGGCATGGGTTGCAATTTTAAGGCACATATGTCGCAACCCTTTTTTTTTGCAACCCATATTTTTGGGTGATGGTTTGTAAAATTATACATTACCCCCATAAAAATGTAATTTTACAAACCATCTGATTTACAAGACATATGTCTTGTAAAATATAGTTTGTAAAATTACAGCGACCCTCTGAACAAACCCCATTGACAGCTCTATATTTGTGTCAGTTTATCAAAGAGATCTTCCCGCCCGGGGTGGTCAACATTCTTCCCGGTTTCGGGCCTGGAGCAGGACAATCGATTGTCGACCATCCTTCGATCGAGAAAATCGCGTTCACCGGATCCACCGCCGTCGGGAAACAGATCCTCGCTCGATCCGGCCAGAATAACCTCAAGAAAGTCACCCTCGAACTTGGCGGAAAGTCGCCCAACATGTACGTCATGATTCATTTTTTTTTTTGCTCCAACCGGGGTTCCGGCTGGCTTTGGGAAGCAAGAAAATGAACATGAGTAAGGACATTTGATGGATGTTGACAATGATTTTCCAAAAGTATTTTTGATGATGCCGATTTTGATCAAGCCGTCAAATGGGCCGAATTTGGATTGTTCTTTAACCAAGGAGTTGAGTATTATCAGTTCTTCTTCTTACTGATTCCCATCTCATTTCCAAACGTGTGATTGGTTAACTGGAACTCTTTTGCAGCAAATCTGTTCTGCCGGGTCAAGAGTGTTTGTTCAAGAGGGAATCTATGATGTCAGTCAACTAAATGTCGACTCAATTGAGCAGACAGGTCCACCCCAATGCTATACTGATTCATTTATCTTCCCCAGAAATTCGTCGCTGCTTTGAAGGAGAGCCTCAAGAACCTTAAAGTCGGCGATCCGTTCGATGCAAGCACCTTTCAAGGCCCACAAGTCGAGTCCCCTGCTTTTTTTACAGATTTTCTTTTTATCCTCATAATTTTGTGGGTGTGTCTATGTGGTGAACGACCATTTATTGAAACTTTCCATAAAAAAATGCCAGATCTCCCAACTTCAATATGACCGAATCATGGGTTACATTAAATCAGGTAAAGACGAGGGTGCAACATGTTTGCTCGGTGGTGATCGACATGGTCAAGAAGGATATTTCATCCAACCGACGTCAGTTTGAACGCTCTGCTTTACTTCAAATGGACCGTCAGAAAACGATTCTGACGTTTATTAAGGCCGGACGTGGGCTTGTAACATATGAATAATGATGATTGGCTCGAGTAGGATTTTTACGGATGTGAAGGCGGGAATGAAGATCTGCAAGGAGGAGATTTTCGGGCCGGTGGTGGTAGTGATGAAGTTCAAGGACGAGGAAGATGCGATCAGACAGGCCAACGACACCGTCTATGGACTCGTTTCGGCCATACATTCGACCGACATCACCAAAGCTCTCCGAGTCTCCAAACGCATCAAGGCCGGCACGGTCTGGATCAACTGCTATAATAGGATAGCCAGCCAGGTCCCTTTCGGCGGCTACAAGGAAAGTGGTCTCGGCCGTGAGGTCAGTCTCTCCTTTCTTTCTTTTTTTTCCCGCATCACATCATCAATTTCATCTCGGCTGATTCTCTCTCTCTTCCTCCTGTCTTTCAAAGTGCGGTAGCTACGCATTGTCAAACTATACAGCGGTCAAAGTACGCAGACTTCTTTCCAATCTCAAACCCTTTGAATTTTAACCTGACTTTTGTTTGGCTAAAATGTCCTTTGTGCAGTCTGTTTTCATCAACATGAGTGAGAAGATATGATTGCAATGAGAAAGACCTTGTGGGAAATGGGTGTTCCATCGAACTTCCTGAATGGATGAGACCAGCTCACCTTCACAATTGTCTTGCTTTCTTTCTAGTATTTTCTCAATTGGATTGTTGCACATATTTACAACAGCAACTGCAAGGAGCTATATTGTTATGGATAACGAAGGATGTCATGTCATTACTGTTAACGATCTTTTACCCTTCTTGTAAATTATTAATTGTTTACCGTAAAACAGGTAGCCAAACAATTGAGCAATAAGCAGTCTGTGGGCCCTCCACCCCAGAAGTGTTTCGTGTCGTCGGGGGAGCTGTTTGCAAGGAACTGTTGCAGTCTACACAAATTATTGTCAACGTGGTGTTGTTTGCCTCTTTTGGGCCCCTGCAGGTTCCACTGGAAGATAACTGTGGATCAAGATAAACAGGTGTGCCATTTTCTGGAATCTTGCTCAATCTACTGTCGGCACCACATTCTGGGGGATGTCCTCCGTTGTTTGATCAAGCAGTGATTGGCAGCGGCACCGCCTCGATCATGCTTTCCACGACTCGCTGGATCAGAAAGGGGATCGCGGCGCAGTAGGTACACATACGTCTTCAAGAACCTGAGGTACTTTTTAAGAGTGCTTTACCCCAGTGAGTCTATGAGTCTGACTGATCGAGATCATGTGATGATGTTTCTGGTATGCGGTCAGCTGACGGATGCCTCCACGCTCCATTCACAGTGAGACTGTGAGCGTGAGGAATCTCCTCCCTTCCCCGGGCAGCTGCTGCAGGTCTGTCGGTTCCGCCAATTTGCGACTTGCTGTGCTTGCAACTTGGGAAGTCTCGCTGTGTGCCCGGCTGTCAAATTTGCAGAGGATATGACTGTGATGTGCGTCTGCTGTATGTACTTATGGGGCATGGTAGGTGATCGTATAAATCCATATCGAAATACAGAAGTACATATTCTATTACGTGCATAGATTTATGTATGTACTTACTGAAATATGATAGACTCATTAAAAGAAAGATTAAAAGCTTGTTTTTGTAAAGTATTTATTTTTGTATGCAATCTTCTAAAACGAGTGGTAGATTGATCGACGGTGCGTTTGAGGTTGCAATGTGAAGTCAACGAACTCTCATGAGATAAACAAGTTTGAACATACTATTTAGGCTGACCATAAAAACCCAGTCTCTGTCTCCTTCCTGGTCATACCCCAGCAAAGAAATTTGAATACCAAGCGTCTCCACTGACCCAGAATAAAGAAAGAAAGAAAAAAAAAAAAACCAAGGAAACCATTCTATCAACCAGCCATGCCTTCACCCCAGATCACCTTGGAATTCCCCTCTCATCTCAAGCTCAAACCAGTCACCTTAGAGGTGCGCCGAATGTTTTGACGAATAATGAGCTGACTGTTTCTCCTTCTTGAGAATTTCATCGGGATGGGTGTGCTGATGAGCTCTAACATTTTCATTTCCACAGACTGGTTTATTTATCAACAACCAATTCGTCGAATCAGCGGATAAGAGCACCTTGTCAGTATTCCCTACCCACCCGATCTCTTGTCACAAGGCTTCTTGGTGATGTATCTAGGCATAGCCTCGCAAATAATGCTGGTTTTCTATTTATGACTTGCAAAAACAATCCAGCGAAACGGTCAACCCAACCAACGGAAAAGTGATAGGCTCAGTCTCAGAAGCGAAAGCTCAAGATGTCGATCTTGCCGTCAAAGTAGCATCAGAAGCTTTCGATAAAGTCTGGGGCCTCAAAACCCCTGGTGCAACCAGAGGCAAAATGTTGATGCATTTAGCGGACAAGATCGAATCTCACATGGATACCTTTGCGGTACATTCATTTTTCTCCCCTTTCTATTCATATACTTGGAATTTTGACATTGTTTTATGTACCTTATGAAAACAAAATCACTTAGGCTATTGAAGCTATGGATAACGGCAAGACTTTTACCATGGCCAAGGCGTTTGATGTAGCCGAGGCAGCGGCCTGTTTAAGATATGTTAGTTGGAACTTTCAGAGATAGACGAAAGACCACTTTTTAAAGAATAAAAGACAAACCGAACCTAGTCTAACTGGACTGAGACTTTGGCTTTTGTTTATTTGTGCATCAGTATGGCGGCTGGGCAGACAAGAATACCGGCCAGACAATCGAAGTGAACGAGTCCAAGATGGCCTTCACCATGCATGAGCCAATCGGAGTGGTCGGCCAAATTATTCCTTGGTTGGTACACTCCACTGAAACCTCACTAGAGCAGTATAATTTCTGACTCATGTTACCATATTTTTGGACATCCAGGAATTTCCCGTGCGTAATGTTTACCATTCACTGACCGCGAAGTGAAATCTTTCTAGGAAGGCCAATCTAACTCAAACCAAATTTTGCTGCTAAAATTCACTATTTCTTTTTTTTTAAAAAAAGGCTATACATGATGTCGTGGAAGATAGCGCCAGCCTTAGCGACGGGGAACACGATTGTACTAAAGCCAGCCGAGCAGACGCCATTGACAGCATTATATCTATGCCAATTCATCAAAGAGATCTTCCCGCCGGGGGTGGTGAACATCTTACCCGGCTTCGGACCGGGCGCAGGCCAGCCTATAGTCGAACATCCCTCGATCGAAAAAATCGCCTTCACCGGCTCCACCGCCGTCGGAAAACAGATCCTCGCTCGATCCGGCCAGAATAACCTCAAGAAAGTCACCCTCGAACTCGGTGGGAAATCTCCTAACATGTATGTACTCATCCTTTTTTAGCACGTTTGTAGGCACAGAAAGGGTCAAGTGGATCGGTCTTCATGCCTCCCTAACATCGTATCTCATTGCTCGATTTTTTCGTCCCTCTGTGTAGTGTCTTCGATGATGCAGATTTTGATCAAGCCGTCAAATGGGCCCAGTTTGGTATTTTCTTTAACCACGGTGTTAGTTCTTTTAACTATCGTTTTGACCTACTCATTCCAAAAGATTGTACGATCAGCTAACTAGGATGATCTGATAGCAATGCTGTTGTGCTGGGTCGAGAGTGTTTGTCCAGGAAGGCATCTATGATGTAAGTCTGTCTATCGAACATTTTCAACTGGACAAATACAGCAATTTGGGATGTTTGTGTGTGTGTGTGTTGACCTACTTATCCACTCTTTCTTTTACTCAGAAATTCGTGACTGCTTTGAAGGAGAATCTCAAGAGCCTCAAGGTAGGCGATCCGTTCGATCTGAACACCTTTCAAGGTCCCCAAGTTGAGTCTCGTTTCTCGATCATCTTTGGTAGCTTGTTATCGAAAAACAAGAGTGATGACTGATTATTGTTTCAAATTCACTGAAAACCCATAGATCTCTCAACTTCAATTTGATCGAATCATGGCTTACATCAAATCAGGTAAAGATGAAGGGGCAACCTGTTTGCTCGGCGGTGAGCGACATGGTCAAGAAGGCTACTTCATCCAACCCACGTCAGTTCTACCGTTTCAAGTCACTCTGAGATCGAGCCTCTGTCCCAAGGCTGACAGCCAGTGTTACCATGCCTGATGAATGGCTGGAATCCGTAGGATATTTACGGATGTGAAGGCGGGAATGAAGATCCATAATGAGGAGATTTTCGGGCCGGTGGTGGTGGTGATGAAGTTCAAGGACGAGGAAGATGTGGTAAGACAGGCGAATGACACCGTCTACGGACTAGCGTCGGCCATCCATTCCACCGACATCACCAAGGCTCTTCGGGTCTCCAAGCGGATCAAGGCCGGGACGGTCTGGATTAACTGCTACAATCGGATCGTCAGTCAGGTGCCCTTTGGTGGCTATAAGGAGAGCGGCGTCGGGCGCGAAGTACGTCGGGAATCGTTTTTCTTCTTCTTGCGTTCACTCCTTTTAGTTCTTCTGATGCCCTTCTCTCCTGTCTGTCTTTCTTAGTGCGGTAGCTACGCTCTGTCAAACTACACCGCTGTCAAAGTAAGCGCAAATCTTTCCGCTCATTATACCCAACCTCAAATCCTGTTCTGTTTCACTGATGGTTTTGTGTTCCCTGCTTTGGATGAATCTCCTATGCAGTCCATCTTTATCAACATGAATGAAAAACTTTGATTGCACATCGCAAACCATCTTCTACAAAGTATTCCCAGCCTTGTTATTTTATTTTTTTCTCTCTTCATGCGTCTCGCGCTATCCTCCCAAAATTAGGAGGATGGTGGTGTTACATTCATGATCGAGGAATTCTTGACAACTTATAAGATCGCCTTATCTACCCCCCAAAATCCCCTTCCTTGTTTGCTTCTTCTGTCATGATCATCCTATTATCGTAGATCATGTATGTGCACATATCGTTTTTGTATTGTCGTTATTGTTGTCTCTTGCTTTTCTTTCTTTTTTCCTCTGCTGAATGAAAGAAAAAATTGTACCCATCTTGATCACTCTACAATGTCCCCTCTCACGACTCATGCCACCATTTTTACGACAAAAAAAAGACAGTTTCACACTTCAAGCTTTCTCAAAGAGCAGCTTTGCCCCGCTTATATGTATTGTTATCCAAGAGAACACGAAAGAACAGATAGATCTACATCCACGCCCCTTGAGATGATGTTCTCGACCCTACATAAATAGTACTACCTAGTCGGTTTCCTTGGGAAGGTTGGAAAGTCCGTGTGGAGATGAGCGTGGGGAGGAGATTGGGTGAAGAGCTGTTGAAGTTTAGTGCTGGCCCAAGAAAAAGAAAATCGAGATTGCTTTTTTCTTTGTCTTCGTTTTCCTTTTCTTTTCTTGGGCTTGAGATCATTCAGTTTACATCGACACATACTGAATTCATTGATCTAACACTTCCTACGTGTATCCTTATTCTTTAGGGGTTAATACTATTATAGTCTTGGATTTGATTGGTACATATTCATCACAACCGGCTCCTGGACCATCGTTGCTTTTCGTGGCAGGTGTTCCTTTGAATGAGGATATTTCTCGTTTTCCTATCTGGATAAATATGTACACTATTTGCCTGTTTGTTGAAGGCTGGACACAGGGGGAGGAGGACATTGAATTGGTGAGTTGAGGGCTTGTTTTTTTCATGTGCAATGGTCACAAGGGAATGTCGTCATGATGATGGTGTGCTTACGTAAGGTGATGTGGATTGCTTGGTTTTAAGGTTTGGTGGAATGATTGTCCAAGCTGGCTGACGAACAAGACCTATCAGGCTACATATCAGGAAGAAACAACCAAAAGAAAAACAACAACAACATCGGAATCGCAAAGAACAAGAACAAGAACAAGAAACACACATCATACGATGGAATCAGAACCATCCTCACCCGACCAGCAGGAGAAACAACAAGCGGACGACACCAGCGATGATTTCAATAAGAGACTACCAAAACATCTCCAATCACCATCAGGATCCAACAGGACAGACAAGACTCATCCCAATCTGATGCCCTATCCGATCGAATCCCTCGAACAGATGGATACCCACCTCGAGTTGATCATCCAGCACCTCCTCGAAGCTGCCCAAGCAAAAGACTTCGAACTGTTGAGCCATCCTGATCCTTTATTCTACTTAGTAGACCAGAGCACTGAATCCCTTCCTTATATACAGTGCCTTCAATTATTGGCAGCAAGTCCTCGAGAAATGGCTTGATTTTCGATACCCCATCAAACGTCGTCTCAGGGCTCGTCTGGCTGCCCTCTACTACAATCTCACCGGTCCGCACCTTTCTCCTTTCTTCTACTGCTCTCCACTTTGGGAAATTGACTCAAAAAAAAACTCTGGTTCCTTAGTTTCTCCTGGAATGGAGCCTGATTGCGTTGCGCGAATGGCCAAACTATTAATAATTTTAATCAAGTAAGTCACTGTCATTAGGTCTTTTTTTTAAAAAAAAAAAGAATCTCATCTTTGCCACCCCCCCTTTCTTTTTCCCTTTCTTCCAGGTCAGATAAAACTTTGGATGTTCGAGATCTTCAGTTGGATTGGAAAGCACTCTACAATGTGATGAAACCTGAACTATTCCCCAAACAGCGTGCCACCGGCCTCACAAACATCTATCTCACCTATCTCAATGTGGCCGAGGTTGCAAACGCCTACTTCCCTCCGCACACCACCATGGAGATCATGGAAACCATCTTGCCCCAGCTCAACGGCCCAGATGTCAACACCGTCCTCAGCACTCAATCTCTCCTATGTCATTTTTTACCGATCAGTCATCCCCTCCCTTGGCTTGATTCAATTTTCCGTCTTTGGAACACTTTTCAAAGCCAGAGTTGGGATTCACAATGGCTCGATCTCCTAGCAAGACTCTCTCAAAAACATTTGGATCCCAATGCTAGTGATCCCCGTCTAGAACATATTCTGAAGAACCTCAATCCTGGTGATAAATTTGATGATAAAGCTATAGAAACTCTGTCAACCTTCGAAGGTCAAGAGGCTTGGTCCGGGATTCATCGGGACGTCGGGATCTATACAGAGCGTCAATGGTCCTTCATCATGACCCAGTGTGTTCGATATTTTAGCGTGCCCGTAGGATCCAATACCGTCCAAGCAGTAGCCACCTACAGCGCCCGAGTTACCGACATCAAAGTTTCTTCGCGGGTCCTCAAGATGCTTAAACCTTCAGAAACGCTCAAGTCATTTGCCATCATCATAGTCACTTCAATGACCGAGGATCCCAAGTCGGGTGAATGTCGCGCACTCACCTCGTTATCCAGATTGCTAACGGCCATGGAAACCTTCTTCCATCCATCAAATTACGGGCGGTGGTCGGCTAAGCTCGCGAAATTCTTAAATTATCTCGCAAAACAATTTGCTCGTCGGTGGACTTCAGAATCTAGAACGGAACAAAACACACCTGCACACTGGAAGCTGACCGCCCGGATCAAGAAGCGATTTGTAAGCATGCTCAGCAATGTACTCTTGATGTCAATGTTTTCCAAGGACTCGACTACTGCAACTTGGACTCAACATGCTTTGAAAATCGCCGCCTATCTCGAACCTAGCGTGATGGTACCGCCAATCGTTGAGCGTTCCGTCTTGGCCCTCGAGGGTCTATTAGAGGTAGATCATTATTTCGCATACAATTCTTTTTTTTATGTGGTCATAATTCTTACTGACTCGTCTCCCATTATCACGTAGACTCATCGCACAACAGCATGCATTGGTGCTTTAACGTCAGTCATGGGAAGTATGCTCAACGTACAGTCCTTCCGCAATGTGACCAGCAGTTTACCGATCATCCTCGACTTACTTTTGCCGGGAATTGACCCCAATGATCCAAGCAAAACGATGTACACAGCCATGCTGGTATTACAAACGGTATCCAAGATCAAGATCAGTGAGATCACGGCGATCAGTGGTGCCCAGGGGATGTCCGATCCTGAACAATCGGAACATCCCGAGCACGAAGACTTGAGCCAATTCAACCCGAGTCAACCGGATGATGGGATGATCGTCCTAGAATCTGAAAGCTTTCTGTCGGAGTGGGCACTGACCTACTTCCAACGAGTGATGAGCTTCTTTGAGAATCTGCCAGAGCCGCAAGGGAAACAGGAGAAGACGGGCGGCAAGCTCGAGGAAAACACGATCAATTTCCTGAGCGCCTCGTTTGATGAGCTGTGCAAGTCCATCTCCCCCGAGCTCTCGCCCATGATGGTCGACTATTTCAAGACTTACGTCTCCGATAACGTCCGTTCGAACATGGTCAAGGCGGTCGGCTTGGTTGCTAGTTCTCTCTCCCGTGGAATCTCCGGCTCTGTTACCTTCCAATCCATCTACCCTCTTTGCGATGCTAGGATCCGGGCTGAATTGGAGGCCGGTGCGGCTTCCGTTCATACCATGTCTACCAATTCGCCTAATGGCTCGGATCTTCGGCTACATTGGTTCTTCAGTATTATCATTGGAATCTCTAATAATGCTGGCCTTGCAGTAAGCCTTCCATTAACCTTCTCGGAGCGCGTTATCTTTCAAGTGTTTTATACATTTTTTTTTTTCCTTCTCGTGAATGGTTTTTAGATTTTAGGATTCAAGGACTCGGTCTTGTCTTTACTCAAGTTGGTCTTAAAGGATTGTAAAACTGAACGCTCTTATCTCTATACGTCGACCCTCCTCTATACGCTCTTGAGGGCTTTGATCGAATACTATCCTGAGGATAGTCGGTTCTTAAACCCTAATGAATGGGATAATTTAGGTAAATAAATGCGTAGCTCTTCCTCCCTGGAAATGCTCGATTTGGATTGAATTATTCTCGGTCCTGGTACTTATCAATCTTAATGATGCTTTTTAGATTCTAAAAATCCTCATCAAACGTTGTGGGGCAAGACTTACAAAGCTCAGGATGCCAAGGTTTTTTTTTTTTTAATTTTTCAGATTTTTCTTACAACTTGACTAGATTACAACATTGGTACTGATCATCACAAAATACACTGGTGCTCACTAGATCCGCTGGCATGTGCCATCATCGGAAGAAATAGACTTTGCAATCGTCATTCTTGAGGAGGTGGTCCAACCATACATGCTCGAGCTCGATGAAGAACTCCAAAAGTCCAGCCTCAACCATGATGAAAAATGCAACTTCGTCAAGCTATGTGCAGTTGCAAAGTTTGTAATCTCTGGGATCTCGGCCTTTGTCGTCATCGGGTCCCCCGATAATCCTGGGAATCCATGCTCTCATTGGGGGTCAGTACTTCCTCTTCAAATCATTCATTTGCAGATTTTCGTTCAGGTGACATCAAATTCAATCTCAAGTGGAATGTCTAAGCCAACCAACCATAAAAAAAATTGATTTGATAATGTTGATCAATGAGGAGCTTACCGGTTTAGCTCTTTGATGTCCCTGGAAGTTTGTTCGTATCAATGTACGTAATATCTAACGCTGATGTCGATGTTAATTATACTCTCAGAGAGCCTCTGCCAGGGGCTACAGACGACTTGCCGATGGTGCGTACGGGGATCCCGCTAGCGAGTCCGGATGGCCGCTGGGCCAGAGTGGTGGAGTTCAAGAGATCGGTCTCCGAGCTGGCCCATCAGGCGGCGACCAAAGTATCGCTCTTCGATGATAACATCAAATGCGTCCAGTCGATCGTCTCTTTGATGTCCTCAATCCTCTTGGATTATGCCTGCGAAAATCCCGTGCACGATTATCATAAGGAAAACTATAAATTCGTCCAGGATATGGTCTGTCCTTTTTTGCCCCCCCCCCTCTCGTTCCTGCTTACTGGGTAAATTTTGAGTTTTTTGTTTGGTTTTTTGGATCTGGATAGAGTCGCATATCAAAGTCACAACAAGAATATCCAAGGGTATACTGGAGTAAGTTGATCATGTTTTTATTTCAACCTTCCAAGGATGATAAGCTGATCAAATACCTTTGTCGTGCACGAATTAGTTCGTCGGGCGCAGTTGGCACACTTCACCAGATTGCGATCGCTCAAGCTCTTCATTCAACGCAGCTCGGTCGACGATAAATTGATCCAGGATCTGACCGAGTTCTCCGTTTCTTCGTGGGTCTCGATTAGACGATCGGCACAGAAAGTATTGGATGCAGTCTGTAAATATGGAAATGATCTCTTTCTTCAGATGCAAGAAAAACTCTTCTTTATTCAATACTGATGATCGTTATCAAAAAAATTCTTCTGCCCTGATCAAACGGATTCGTGGTCCTTGCTTGCCCTCAGGTAACATTTATGATGGCAGTCGGAACTTGGTCTCGCCCACCTTGTTCGAATCTCTCAAGCCTGGCGCCGAGTCCGATCGAACTAAAGGCGCCATCTACGTCTTGGCTTCCAAGACCTTCTTGAAATTTTGCATGGCGGACCCTCAGTCTTGCTCTACTTTCTACTTGTCTTTGTTACGCTGTCAGCATTCTGAAAAGGTTGGTTCACATTTCTATTCTAACTGATTTTGGTTCATTTGTACTTACTTTTTTTTCTTTGTTTGTTTGCAGTCTTCGATTCAGTCTTTGGTCTCCAAGTAAGGCTCAATTTTTTTTTAAAAAATATTGTTGAGACGGGAGCTAATGATCTATTTCAATTCTCTTGATGTTTTCCAATACAGCTTACTTAGTCAATTGATTTTGCGGCAGCAAGAGCTATCCACTTTGAAAAATACGATTGAGTTGGATAGCACCAATGAGATGATCAGATCTTTGAGTTCTGAACTGACACGTCACTCCATCAATCCTGAGATCTCCAAAACGCTTGAGTCCAGGAGGCAAGCCCGTGTTGCAAACAGGAACACCTTGTCACATCAATTGGTCAGTATCTGTTTTGTGTTGACTTTTAATTTTAGACTAACGATCCACGTGTCTTCCTTTCTCGGAAAAGGTGGATGATTTGCTTGAGATTGCCAAGGCAAGCTCTACACACTGGAAGTACTCTCTTCATGCCAACCGCTTGTTGAGCAGTATAGTCAGACGCGATGAGGTAATTGAGATTTTACAAAAGACATTGAGGAGTTTTGGGGATGTTGATGTGATTTGATTTTGATTGTAGCCGATAAGCGTGACAGTGGCCATTCACTTTGTGAACGAGCTCATGAACTCCGAGCTGCCCTCTAAGCGAAACCATTCCATTTCCGCCATCACTAAGATCCTTCATTTCGTCAAACTTCGGACGTTCATCAAATCAGATGAAGATCTTTTGACAGGAGAATCACGCAATCCTCTAAGAATGACCATCGATTTTCCGTCTCCACAGGATCGCGAACAGTTTGAAAAGTAAGATAGAGATCACCAAGACATTACTCCCACACAATCCATCTCCTAATCATTTGAATGTGATGCAATTTCTAGGTTCCTTTCAGGGCTACAGCGACCATTGAATGATCATCCGGAGTATTTGGCTGATAAGTTCTGTAGCGGATGGTTAATCTGTGGGTCGGAAAAGGTACACAAGCCGCCCGATGAGTCGGTTGGAACCACGTGGGAAAGTCCCTCCGGCCCAGCTCTTATCGCCTTGGGTGAAATCATGCGACAGAAGGTTTTCTGGGAAAAGATGGCCGCTCATCTCAGTCAAGAACACACGAGAAATTATCTTTCGTTGAGTGATCTTGCTGTTCATTTTTTACAATTGATGTTACATCCTTGGCTAACAACACAATACAATTTTTTTACAATCAGGTCTGAGAATGTGATGGTCTTCAGTGGGTGCTTCTTTCACTTCAATATCTTCTGTTAAGTGCCCGATGAGTTCTCCCTTCTGATCTAAAATTCTCTGTCCATACTTAGAGTCGATTTTCCAAATCTTTGGTGATGAACCATGGCCAAGTCTTTTGCCCACATTGGAAGAATTGCTTGTAGACCCAGAGGATCGGCACAAGCAGAGAGCTGCAGCTGAAATCATTAGTGGTATGTAGGTCCTCTTCCTGATTTGATTTTGTCCCGAGGTCCTGACACTCTACATCTTGTCTCCTTATTACTTTCTAAGGGGTCATCCGGGGCGCGAAACATGTAAGTTTTATTAGCCAAGATTTGGATTCGATCGCATATTTTTCTTAATATCATCGTCGTTGATTTTGTCGTTTGGCTTTGCTCAGTGGCCTTTGAAACAACAACGAGTCGTCTGGAGTTGGTTCGGGAATTCGTTGAAGAAGATCTACGATTCGATCACTCCAGCCACGTTAAGTGCCTGGGTGATGTGTGTGGATTATATTCTATGGGGGAGGGACCCTCGAAGAAATCAACCTCTAGTTGACTGTACGTTTTCATCCGGTTTAAAGTATGTATATCCAGGAATTGGGCAGTCGGCTAATTTTGGAGGATTCTTTCTAGTCATCTTGAACTTGGAAACGGATAGCAATACTTCTGCCTTTTTGACGAGCAAAGCCCACCATTTCATCGGCGCTCTTCTCCGGTCATTGGCTTGTTAGTTGTCATCATCTCATTAGAGACTTCTGCCTAGAAAAGCTCATTGGTCCATCATCTTTCTTTTAGGCATTCATGCACCTATACTCCCCAAGGTTACGGAGCTTATTGGAAATCTATCAATTCACGATTATCGCGAGGTTTGGCAAAATCTATCCATTCGGAAAAATCAAACCAAAAAAAATGCAGACCACTCACAATCTTCGCTTTCATTTCTTGTAGGTTCGAACTTGCGTCAGTTTAAACTTGCGAGGCCTAAACGAAGCTGAAACGCAGCCGTCATTTCGGGATCTCTCATCTTATCTGGAGGCTTGTCGAGCTGGAACTGATGAGCCTTTACTTGTCGACCATACGCTGCTGAATGAGGTCCTGCCGAACCTATTCAAAGACCTGGAGAAGTTTAGAAAACTCAGATTGCCTGCTCAACATGGCGACCAGGAGTATGATAAATGCTCGATGACGATATTGGCATGGCTTTGGTCATGCTTAAGCGATGTGCAAGCCGTAAGTCCTGGTTCGGGCGTATAGATGAAACCCCATGGATCAAGACTATTGCTGATGCATCTTTTCCCCTAGGCCGCTGCTTATCCTTTCATCCCCCAAATCATCCCAGATCTTTTCTACATGCACGAGATGATTGATAATCAAGAACTCAGCAAGCTTTCTTATGCCACCTTGATGAATCTGGCGACCCTTGCTTGGCCCTGCATGTTCGTAGACCGCTTCTTGGCTACCTTGCTGGATCTATCTCAGGCAAAGAGCTGGAAGGTCCGATTGGATGTGCTCACAGTACTCAGAGGTATGTGGATCTCTAGGGAACCGCGGAAACTCGTAACAAATCTAGGGTGTTTGCTGACAGTGAATCATGATTCTTTTCACCACGGAACTTGAAAAAAAAAATAGTGTTTTTCTTCCATCAAATCTACAATCTGAGTAGACCACAAGTAGAGGAGGTGATGGAAAGCTTATGCAAGTTATTAGAAGATTCAAACATGGAGGTACGAGAGGCAGCAGCAACGACATTATCAGGGATCGTGCACTGTTCGGAGCGAGAGTCGATCTTACATCTCAAGGAGAAGTTCACCAAGATCTTACAAGAGAACCCGGTGCCCAAGCAGAGATTCTTGGAGAACGGGGTCGAGCGGCCGGGATACCAGGCCACTCTGATCAAGATCCATTCTGCCGTCCTCGGCTCTTCGGCTCTCGTCAACGCCTTTCCTTACGATGTTCCCCCCTGGGTCCCTCAGATCTTGATCCATAATCTTTGCGCCCATTTGAGCTCCCCTCCGATGATCTCTACTACCGCTAGAAGCACCCTGACCGTCTACAAAAAAACTCACCAAGATGTATGACCACCATTCCCCTCCCCCCTTTTTTCTTTTCGGTCTCTTATGTTCAAGGCTGACTTTTTTTTCTGGTTCATTGGGTCATAAAAACAATTTAGACTTGGTTCGAAGGGCAAAAGATGTTTACTGAGGAAGAGTTAACGATCTTGAACGACTGCTTGGTCGGCTCTTCTTACTACGCCTGAAGTCGTCCATCTAATCCAGCCCCACATCCCCCCCTACCACTAAAAACTTACGGAACTCGTAAGGATCCGGATGTAAGGATGGCTTGGCGATCGGCAGTCTTCCTGGCTTTCTTACCGAGCTCCCGATTCTTCAATCGACTGCTTTTTCCTTACCTCTTTCTTTATGTGTAATAATTCGCTCGTTATTCCCCCCAACCCCCCCCCCCCCCTTCCCCCGAATATATCGATCGTTGCTAGCTTCGGCAGGAATGTGATGATGGCCCCCACTATGTATGTCCACAGTGGATAGATAGACAGAACGAGAGACTCTGGCGGGTTTCTGTCCACCCCCACTACTCATATATTTACTTGTTACATATTAATGTAGATATACACTTCAAGGACCGTTTTTGGTGATCTGGTTGTTAATAATCCCCTTACTTCTACTGGCGTAATTAATCTATTGATATCATTCATTGAACATTGTTATATCGGTCACACGCTTTTCACAGATGGATGGGATTCCAAAGGGGTGCTGGCTCATTTGGTCTGGAAGGCTGCCAGGTCACTTCCAGCCACACTGTCAAGCTCGGCTCAAATGTTTTGCGTCCATGCTAGTCCTGACTCCAATGGCTCGGGGCAAATTAGGTTCCCCTGCCGTAATCACTTCTGTATAATGCAGCCTTTTTTGTCATACTTGGATTGATGTGGAAACAAAAATTAAAATTGTATAAATCATCATCAAAACAAAAACAAAAACCCAAAAAAGAGAACAAACGAGATAAGGAAGAGGGAGAGAGAGAGAGAAGATGAAGGGCAAAAAAAGCCCTACAATCCTAGCGACAAGAATCAACACAACGTATGAACATGAAGGGAAGAAGATCACAAAAAAAAAACGTTAGAGTGGTCTCAAGGTGAGGCGGAGAGGAAACAGAGCTGTGGGGAGGGACGGAGCGAGGAGAATGAGTAAGGTGAGGGGATATGCAGTCTTCCAAGTATTCCCGTAGTCTATGAATGTATCTGAGGAGGAAAGAAGGATGGGCCAAGGATTTCTAGTCTTCCTTTGCAGGCGTGTCGTTCCCGCTGCTCGCCGCGGCGGCATCCGGGGCGCCGTTGGTTAGCTTGTTCTTCTTGTTGGCCTTCTTTTGCTCCTTCTCTGCCTGCTTCTCTGCCTTCGATTTCTTTACCTTAACAGATCATGCGTTTGTTTAAATATGTTTTGGATTTTGGGTGCAAGTAAGAGTGGTCAGGACGTACTTTCTTAGGCGGTGGGATGTCCCACGACCATAGTGGGATGAATGAGTCAACCTGATAAATTATTAAAGAGAGTCGTTTTAGTGGAGTTTGATCTATGGACAAGACGATGATGGTAAGTAAAAAAAGGAGAGGAAGGAAGAACTCAACAAATCCAACGTCTTCGAACAGGTTAGGGAACAACCAAATCCCTGGAGAGACAGCGATCCAGGTGATGATGTAGAGGATCAAGCGGATGATAGCGATGACGAAGAAGAGGCCGACGAAGCCGAGAGCGGCCATGGAGAGATACCAGACGCCGATTCTGAGGCTCATGGGCCAGAGGGGGAACATGACCCCGGCAAGGACGACGAGGACCATGAGTGCAGCGCCGGCGATGACCATCAGCTGGTTGCCGTCGTACAGCCAGGCATAGTAGCTCTCCCCGTCGAAGAACTGGGTCGGGTTGATCTGTAGGACCTTCGCCCCGGCTATCGATTGCGTGGTCCGCTCGACTCGTAGGAAAAACGCATAGGGAATGATCGTGTTCAGGAGCGCTGTTGCAGCTGCTTCGTCGGTGATCGGCGGCGAACTACTCGGGTGGATCTTCGCATACGAGGGCGAAAGTAAGGCTTTGATGGCCGCTTTCCCTTTGAAATAATCGTGTCGCTGTTCGTCCATTCACAAAACCAAAAAAAAAAAAAGGACAAAAAGTCAGTACATTCTAAAGGCTGCTCGTCTACAAAATTTCCAAACAGAAAAAATACATAGAATTGATTCGCTTACCTTTCCTTCGAGAACGCCAGTCTTGGTCTTTAATTCGGCCTTCGATCTGAGATATTGGACGACTGCTAGAAGTTCACCTGTGAGAGAGGAAGAGGAAGACAGAGGGTTTCACAAAGATATCAGATTGAGATGAATGGTTAGAAGGCAAGCAGTGTATGCTCAAGAGGGAAGAAGACTGTAGGGAAGAGGGCCTGACGTGGAATAGCTTTTTGTTGTTCCATGGCTTGGGGAGCTTGACGGTGCGAAATCAGGTGATGACGGGAGGGGGTAGCTGCTCAGGAACTTGTGGTGCAGAGTTGCGAAGGCTTTCGGGCGAGTGGTTGGTCAACTGGAGGGTTTTTATTATCAAGTGCCACACACTGTAATCACTGATCGCTGTATTGATGTGTGTAGACGTGGTAACCCTGAGACTCGTCTCGGGGACGCAGAACCCACCCCCCCGAGGCATAGCGTTCCAACATATGCCATCACTAGCTGATCAACTGTATTTCGCTCAGAACCCTGCAAGACCCGGTCTCATTTTTATAGACTCTCTCCTTCAATGACTCATCGAAGCCCTCAAACCCATCAACCATCCCATCCTCAGAACAGCTCGCCACATCCATCAAACATCTTGAGTGTTATACATACGTCATACAGGTCTCTTGGGTCGAACTGATTTCAGATATCTCAATGACTCATTAATCATTATACCAGCGGCATCCACAAAACCAACCATCACTTTTTCTTACGATATATGTAGTACATACCAGAGATGTCTTGTGTTGTATCTTTTTTGGGTGAAGGTTGCACCCAGCTTACACCATGAAGACTGAGCAGTACTTAACCTTTCTATTTCACAGCTGTGCAAATTGCAAATGGGCCAAGGTTAGAATATATATCAATGTGGATGACTTGAAGGTAGACAAGCTAATCAAATCACCATCATGAAAAACATAGACCCCAATTCAATGACCAGTACTGTATGACTATGGCTTTGTTGTTGCACTGGAATCGTTCCAGGGACAGGATGGTTCAATCATTTTGCACATCATAGATCTTTGCTCCCAATTTCCATTCAAAGAAGGGTGGTTGAATGGTTGGTTCCAGCTTTAGAATTGTGCATGGATCTCACAGGTGTCTGATCAAGCCTCCAAACAGGTATTGATTTGGTTGGAACAGTGTGCCATGGCAAGGCTTCTAGTGCACATTGTTTTGGGCTTCATTTTTTTCATCTTAGGATGACTGCCACAACCATCAGTCAAGAAGCATGCTTTTAGCAGGAAGGAGTGTGAGACCCATCAATTTTGACCAAATGGGCAAACATAGTGCTAGTTTGTACAGGTGGTGAAGGTGCACTAAGAGTAAGGTGGGTGGGTGTGTCTAATTATAAGGAGGGGCTACTCATAACCCTACTTCATGATTCATCAAATATTTTGGAAATTAATTACTGATACCACAACTCGAGTGTTGTTTTCTTTGAGATTTTTTAACACCTGGCTTGCTTCATAGAAGTACAATAGCAACAAACTGAAGCAGAGAGAATAAGGAAAGTATGTAAAGATGGAAACTTTCACAGGAATTGATCAAGAGCAAAAGAAAAAAAAAATGAGACTAAAGACTAGAGTAGAGATCAAATTGCAGTTAATTCAGTCTTTGAGTAGACTAAGAACAGGGTTTCTCAAATCATGGTTGATATAAATTAGGGGGGGGAGGGTTTGCAATAGAGCTTCAGAGCCTTTTTTAAGGTCTTTGCGAGCAACATCTAGTTATCATTATTTTCTTGCAGTGAGAGTTTTTCAGATTCAGTAGTTTCTGAAGTTTCTCATGTACAGTGGGTGGACAGGTGGAAAAGTGGCTGCTTGTTTCGGATTCCAGAGCTCTGAAACACAAACTTGAAGTCATGAAACTTGGTCAGGTGGTGCATAATAGGTCCCGAAAAATGAATATGAAATAATAAAAGCAAAAAATAAAGTTTGAAAATTTGTGAAAAATAAAAATAAACTTTATTTTTTTTCAAAAGCTTTGTTATTCGATTTTGGGGGAGTGGGAAGTGCTGAGAGAAAGGGAGGATGGTATCATGGGTAGGAGTGATTATAAATGAAAAAAATTGGAACCAAAAAAGGTTTAGCCAGGTTGGTGGTCCAGATTGGAGCCAAAACAGTAAATTCTAGTGCTTTGCTGCAATATGAGCTAGTGACTGCCCCACTCAACAGCTGTTTGAAGCCATCTGAAAACCAGTTTTTACAAAATTTTCATTTATAATCATTCTTCTTATTTCCCAATCTTTCTTTCTCTCAGCACTCCCACTCCCCCAAAATGAATATCAAAGCTTTTGAAAAAAAAAAAAAATTGTTTTTTATTTTTCACACATTTTAAAACTTTATTTTTTGCTTTTATTATTTCATATTCATTTTTTGGGACCTATTATGCACCACCTGACCAAGTCTCATGATTTCAAATTTGTGTTTTGGAGCTCTGGAATCCAAAATAAGCAGCCACTTTTCACTGTCTAGGCACTGTACAACCCAAAACACTTGTACATTTTTGATCAGAAACAACCTCAAAAATTCCTCTTAAGTTCAATTATGAAACTTCCTATAGAACAAAATGGTTCTCAGGAATATTATCTTTGAAAATATTCCTGGAAGGCTGAATTTACTGAGATATCCCTTGGGTTCTGGTTGGGCTCCTTGAAGCCAGATTCCACCCATCCCGTTGTGGAACTGCTCAGCAAGTGAGTAAAGAGCTTGGAGGGGATAAAATAGCTAATAAAACTATGAAATAGTAGAATTAGTATCTGTGTGTGGGTGAGACTGCCCTCCTCTCTAGCTTGCAGGAAATTTACACTAAGAAAAATAAGAGTGTGGCTTATTTCTAAATTTATCTTAGTGTTAATACTACTATTATTAGTTGTTTCTTAAGAAGACCTATTGAAGAGGTAGAAAACATGGGCAGAAGAGCCTCTATTTATAGACAATTTTTCTACAGTACATGAGCTTTTTGGCCTGAACACAAGTTTGTCTGAGAAGGGTACTTCTAGAGTGGATTTTACTACTCTGAGATGGCCTAATCTGATATGAATTAATCTCTAAGTGCCCTTCTAATACGAGAGGTTGTATTTCTACTATATGAGACCTATTCTTAGATTAATTGCTGTGAGATTGGTATTCTTAGATTGATTAGTATAAGAGTTATTTTCTGGTTTTTAGTCTGTGAGGCACTCTCTAATTAATAAATTAATTATACCAGTCTAAGATAGATGTAGTGTCTTTTATATATTTCTAAAGGATTTTTTGTATAATTATTACTCATAGAAAATTTGGCCAGTTTTAGGCCTGATTTGTGATTTAATTTAACTATAATTTAACCCAATATTAATTATGCAATTTATTCTGTATTTTATTCCTTCTCCTCTAATGTTTTAATTTACTATTTATGTGTATTAAGGTGATTTTAATTATGGTTATGGGTTTGATCAATCTTACCACACCACACCCTCTGCCCCAAAGATATCCATCACTGAGCCAGGTTTGTCTGGATTTTTTTCCTACTCATTTTTTGCTGAAATGTAGTGAAAAAAAGGTGCTCAGTGACAGGAGGATAAGCCAAAATCAACACTGAAACAGAGGCAAAACAAGACAATACCTGACATTTATTTGTATCATCTCAGAATCTGAATACCCAAAAATTACAATCCTTGTTTGTCTCACTTTCCTGAGACAATACACATGTATTGTCTTTGAAAAGTGAGACAAGTATTGTGTATTTATCAGAGTGCTGATCCCACCAAAAATGTCTTCAATGCACAAGATATCTGGCCATATCAACAAAAAAAAAACAGAGACAATTTTTTTTGTATAGTAAAAAAAGCCAAGATGGTGGATTTTCTCACCAACAAAGGAAATACTGATACCAGGTATCAGTCTCAGAAAAGAGACAATACACACAAATACCAAATATATGTACTGCCTCTGTTTCAGTGTTGGCAAAACTCAAAGCCACAATGCAGTAGCTGTACACTCTGTGTGGGTTTCATTTGGGTAATCCCTGCCTATCTACTTCCAGATACTGGATGTCTCTGAGCCAATGCCAAGCCCTCATCCAGTCTGTTAAACTCCCTGATCTGGTTTGCACCCTGCTGTGACCTGGGCCATATGGTCTGACCTGGCTGCGGATCAGCCTGGTGATTCAGCCAGCCATTGGAGACTAGATCTGTCTCCTCCAGAGCACACCTCTTCAGAATTGAATAAATTATGGCCGATGAGAGGGAGAAAATTTTTGAAGAGAAATTTTGGGGTAACAAGATGATTTTTGTTGGAATGGTACAAGGGTTGAAAAATGAAGGAAAGAAGTGATAATTTTAATTATCATGTGTAATCAGTTTGTTAGATAGAAATTAGAATACATACACAACAATCAAAATGTGGTTTGAATGATGAATATTCAGAATGCCACAATCACAGTAATGAGAAAGTAGAAGAAAATATTTCAGAGTCATGAGTTGAAGAAAAAGAAAAACAGTTCAAAAATTTATTTTAGGGATGAGTGGAAAAGACAGCAAAATTCCAAAAAGAATCCATACCAAATAGACAGTATATATTTTTAAAGGTGGTGAGCCTGCATTACCATCTATGCTGGAGAAATCTCTTCAACAGACCATACCAGACCAATCATCTGAATCTTGCCAACAAACTATACTGGAAAAGTCCCTATCCTGTTGACAAAAATCTGCATACCTCTTTTGATTCATTCACATTTTTATCTCCAAATTCCTTGATCCTCAAACCCAACGGACTCTCATTCTCAGGGAGCTCCACCCATTATAAGGACAAACCCAAGATGCAGCAACAAACACAGGATTTGTTTCTTTAGAATATTCAAGGTAACCAGAAACACCAAGGCAAGTGTTCTGGAAATTGGAATTCTATATATTGCCCTACCAACCTTTTGGATGATCCATAATTACAGAGTGAGTTACTCCTCAAGGATTATCATACACACAGTGGTAAACGTGAAAATTGTAATTCTGATTGCTTCTGAAGAACTCTACAGAATTCATAGAGACATAAATCACTATTTTTCTCTGGGAGAAATGCCAATAGATCATTCAGCATTCCAGGTCAGATTCAATGGCCAAGATGAATCAAATGGTGAAAATTTATCTCAGAATTACTTTCAAAATAACAAAGAACAAGGTGGGTGTGACTGTGGAGATTGAGATTGGAGTTGCTCCTGTGCTTTTCAGAAAAATAATTGATATACTTGTCTTGACCTGATTCCAAAAAAAACCTGATGTTTTTGTGAAAAAGAAATTCCAAACAGTTGCAACCTAAGCTGATAAGAATAATCAAAATTATTTGAGGTTTCATAACATGGAAAGTTCTCAGTTTAATTCCACAGATTAATAAAATGAATTATATCCAGAAAAAGATTTGCAATACAGAATGAATTGAAACAAAATTATCTCAATACATGCCAACACCTCAATCAGGAAGTAGAGATGGTCCCGTTGGATCCGGATATCCGCTGACAATTTCAGCGGAATCAGGCATCCGCATCCGCATCCGCATCCGCTTGCGGGTATCCGCGGGCGCTGGCGGGTATCCGCGCGGATATCCGCGGATACCCGCCCTCTTACTGGTTGACGCCGGCGAGGGGGATTTTTTTTTTACAAAAAACAAGAAAAATAACTGGCCCCCCTCGGCCCAGAGAGGAGAGGCCACGCCGCCGGGAGGAATCCCTCCCGGCGAGCTGGTGTAGTGTGTATGTACATACCAGCTTGTCGGGAGGGGTTCCTCCCGGCGAGCTGGATTTCAAACCAGGTCGTCAGGAGGAGTCTGACTCCCTCCCGACGAGAGCACCAGCTCGTCGGAAGGAATCCCTTCCGACGAGCTGGTCTTTGTACCAGCTCGCCGGGAGGGACTCCTCCTGACGAGCTGGTTTAAAATCCGGCTCGCCAGGAGGAATGCCTCCTCACGAGCTGGTATGTACACCAGCTCGTCGGGAGGGATTCCTCCCGACGAGAGCACCAGCTCGTCGGGAGGGATTCCTCCCAACGAGAGCACCAGCTCGTCGGGAGGGATTCCTCCCGACGAGAGCACCAGCTCGCGGGGGAGGGGTTCCTCCCAGCGAGCTGGTGTACATACCAGCTCGCCGGGAGGGATTCCTCCCGGCGGCATTGGCTCTCTAGGCCGAGGTTGGCACCGGGTATCCCTTGGGATACCCGGATATCCGCCAGGATTTTGGGGGGAAAATGACATCCGCACCCGCTGGCGGGTATCCGCTGGCACTGGCGGGTATCCGCCAGCGGATAGCGGATATCCGCAGCGAATTATCCACGACCATCTCTATCAGGAAGCATAAAAACAAGACCTAAGGAATATAATTTTGAAAAACAGCAGATCAAAACAATTTCCAGTTATCCCAACAGAAGAGCTGGAAGATTTTACTGATGATATAAAGCTACCCCAAGAAAGATTTGCAAATAGGATCCTGGGAGAATATACCAAGTTCAAAATTAAAAGAGTTAGGAATTTTTTTGTGATCAAAGGTGCTTTGGGAAAATACCCAACATATATTTTGGAATCTTTCCAGTAAAGATCATTTGGTGCAAAAAGATAACTTCATCCCCAAGTTTCAAAGAGTAAAGATTGCAACAAACAAAAACTTTAATTATTCTAAAATGTTTTACAGAAAGTTTAGAAAGTTAATCAAATGGCTTTTCCTCATAAATATATCATTTATGAGAAATTCTAAACCAAAATTAAAGAAGGGGGTTAAAAAAATAAATCCCAAGTATTTGTTGATGACTCCGAAACACGGTTGTTGTTCCTCCAAATGGATGGCCAGATTTGGGAGCCGGCCACCCATTTATATTTATATTTTGATTTTTTTTTTTCATTTTTTGGGAGTTGGATCACCCCTCATATGTGAGGGAATTTGGGTGTCACTCCCACATGACCAGAAGGATTTCCTCCCAGTCAATGAGAAACAACAACCTCATTGACCAGAAGGAATTCCTTCCAATCAATGAGGTGTAAAAACCTCATTGACCAGAAGGAATTCCTTCCAATCAATGAGGTATAAAAACCTCATTGACCAGAAGGAATTCCTTCGAATCAATGAGGTGTAAAAAACTCATTGACCAGAAGGAAATTCTTCTGGTTGATGAGGTACAACAACCTCATCAACCCAAAAAGAATCCTTCTGTTCAATGAGGTTGCTGTACCTCATTGACCCAAAGGTTCCAGAAGGGACAAAAATAGGAAAAACTCAAGAAGCTTTGTTGGAATATCTATCAAAATATATATCAGCAAGCAACTCATTTGATACTGCTATTTACATAAAAACAATGTTTCAAGAAATTTTCAAACCTGAGATCAGGGGTTGGATTTATGATCAGCTTGATTTCAATGATAAATCCAAGCATCAATTGATTAGGTTAACTTATGATATGGTCAAATCATAAGAGGAAAACTTTAAGCCAATTGTTAATGGCACCACCAATATTGATATATTGAATAAAAAGGAAAAACTCATGCTGATCAACTTGCAAGTATTATCAAAAAGAATGAAACCTTCAAACTTTCAAATTGATTTTGAATTCAGGTAATGGTGAGCTAACATCATCCAATCCCTTGGCAACCTAAAACCAATCATTTCTTTCAGCAAGAATGACACTCCTGGAGATTGCACCTGTCAAGCTCAAGGAAAACAAGCTACCTGAGGATCTTGGTAAGATGGAAAAGGCCTTGCTACTAGAACTATAACCATGAGATTGGTTAAATTTAGCAGGTGACCTTGGTTGCTCTTGTCAGGCGGTTATCTGATGAAATTGTGTTTCTTGGAGGAAACAAAGTCCAGCAGATATGACACTGTCATCTCTTGATAACATGTTATGGGTCATCATGGGTTACCGAGTTGGAAACACAAAAATACCAGAGGGTGTCTAGTACTCCTGCATAAATTCTATATGTGTGGAAGAAGCTGGAATCATCTCTTAACCCAAATGAAATAATCCTAAGGTCAAGAAGGGTACAAGGTGTGGATTCCCTATTAAGAAAGTGACTTGTTGAAAGAAAGACATGATGGGAATGAGGAGGACAGATGGTATGTCATGTTTGTGGAGACAGGAGTTGTAATGGTATAGAAATCAGCTAATCACATTGGGCCATGGGGGCAACACACATAAGTCCCTCTGGCAAGCCATCAGATCAACTGCTGGAGGGACTTGGTTAAGTTAGCCTATAATCCGATACATAGCTTATCTTCAACCTCAAAAAGCAAACACACAAGATCAGCTTGAATGGATGGAGTATCAAAAAAAATATACGCCAAATTTTTAATCTACCAGGAAAATATAAACAGATCTACTGCTTTACTTTTTGAACAAAACCCAGATTGTTTTAAGTGACTAGGAGGAAGGAGATCCAATGTACATAAGCACATAAATATTCAAGCAGAGAGGAGCAAGAGAGAAAGAGAATATTGCCCTCTGAGACTGATTCTTTGATCTATAGATTACATTGACACATTTTTTTATAATGTTAAAGCTCCATGATCAGTAAGTAAAAGCCAATGTAAGCAAAGGAGGCATCAGACTATGGCTGTGAGTTTTCTGTATCTGCTGAACTGCAACCATCACAATCTGAGAAATTTAAGGGAAAAAATTATGACTTTTCCCAAAAATCATCAGTGGAATCAGATTCAACAGAAATGCAATAGACTTACAAGGTCTAACATTATTAGGATCTGTAGACTCAGTCCAAGTGCACAGATACTTATCCCCACTTCCGTCAATCTGGGCCTCTACAGAATTCAATTTCACTGTCTTCAGCAAAGAAAAAAAAACACTTTTTCTCCAATGGAAAGAGGATTAAGCCAACATACCAAGAGTTTGGGCTTGATTATCAGCGTGGTACCAGATTGGATGGGTCTGGTTTATTGGAGGACCTAGATTGTAATCGCTGAGCATCTTTCGGCAATTCTTGAATAAGAGAAGTGGGTCTGATTGTAGCCATTGGTATGAAGTTATGAACACACATCATCAGTCATCCAATTCAATCAAGAAAGAAAAAGGAACACTTTATAGTTCTCTACCGGGGCAGACGTCAAATAACAATGAGTGTGAACTTACAGGGGGGTAGGTCGGGTCTACTATTGGGATCCCCTATATAACAGTCCAGAGTCCTACATGTATATGGGTCCCCATTGTAGTTGATACAAGCTACAATCAAAAGTTCGTGAGAAATTCAGAAATCATCATAAAAACAAAATCATCATCAAAAATTATAGCCAGCCCGGGAGCTTAACTGATATCAGGACCAAGACCTTCCACGCCAAACCCGATGCCACATTGTTGCCTGGAGGTGTCTTGTCTTCGCACGAGGGAGTGTTGAAGAGACTCTGAAAGCCCGACCGAGAGAAATCCAATAAGAGTTATCACTGACAATCTCCGGGTCCAACGCGACATGGGCATTGTTGGTATAATTCGCGACAATAAGATTTATTGAGTTGAATTGTGAGATTGTGAATACGTGCTGGGGAAAGTGGTTGGAGTGTTGTTGGTGGGGCAAGCAGGAAGAATCTTGGCCGGCGAGTTTCTTCGATCGCACTCATCGGTGAATTGTACATAGCCTTGAGCCAGGCTCAGAAATCTACACATATGAGCCAAGGATGTGCCAAGGGTGGCTTTTTCCATTTGTGAAGAAAACGAGGCGCCGGTTGCATCGCTGCATGTTGCTATACCGTTAAGCCCTAGCTTAACACCATCCCCTCGTTCCAGAGGGACGGTGGGACCCCGGCGTGCCACAAGAAGGATAGAAGGATAATGAGGTTATATCATAAAAGTCATACTAACAAAGTTAAAATGCAAGACACACAACCACTTTTTTTGTAGCATGAGTTCAATACTTTTCAATCTAGTGAGTAGTAGAGGAATCAAGCTTTCCTAAAAGTCACATGTAGGAACATCCACATCAATCAAAGCATTTAATGTAATCAAGGAACAATATTCATAACCTGTAAAACCCTGGTGATTTGACGCTCAAGGTAAAGGCAATTCAACCATCAACAACTCAGGCTTTTGTTTGCTGGCATAATCTATGACAATTGAAGTGTTGTCCTTCATCAAATTCTTGAAGGATTTGGAGTTTGAAATCACGCAAGAGGTGCCGCAATAGACTGCTTCTGCTCATTTGAAATTGAAGGTTGGTGCAATCCAGTTTGGGAGCAAATATTCCAAAAAAAAAGGAAAGAAGAAGTCAGTTGAACAGAGGAGTTTTGGGGATATCCAGATGGAAAAAAGGGAAGGATTGGATGATGAATGGTAAGATTGGCTAACCACTTTCGACTCCCACACGGTTACAAATCGCGGCAGAGCGATTCTCCAAGCTCCAAAAGGGAGTGCAACGCATGTCCCAATGCTTTAACTGCTCAGACGTCTCCGCCGCACTCTTACCCATCTCGGTCCGGTTCGGGTTCGGTTGGGGACCCAGATCGAGCCAGGCCATGCAGCATAATAAGAGCTCGGCTTTGTTCTTGGTCGCAAATGTACTCAACTCGTATGCTTCGAATGGGGCTTCGAACCGGTTGGGACTCAACTTTTTTTTTGCAAAACCGAAAGACAGTCAGTGCTATCTTGTCAAAGCGAGCCAAGTCTTTCAAGCTGTGATGTCTTGAATGCTCATTGGAAAAGAGAAGAGAAAAGGAAAGAAGCAACGATACTCAACATCCATGCAAATCCCAACGCAACAATTCACTGGTTTACCTCGCTGGCCATCGACTCTAGCAATGTTCAAATCGACCATGGAGAAGCCCGCGCCTGGTCTGGCCCAGAGCGGATCGACGGGAGGATACAGTTGGGTCTTATGGTACACTTTGATCAACTCGCCTTGGTTGGAAACGATTCCCATAGCATTGTAAATCTGCTTCACGTCCGGCTCTTGGATCTTTTGTGGGAAACCAATGATCACATGACAGTTTAACTTCTTCGCTGATCAATTTCAGAATAGAAAATCGGGTTGGTTCAGCTACGCATTTTTTTGTTTTTTTTTCTGTTAGAGAAAGAGAAAAGGAAGGGGCATGGGTTGGATTTTTGAAATCAATCAATTAGGAACACTGACCGGTCTCTTTGGCCCATGTGATGGTGATCCCATCAACCTCGGACTCTATGTATGGTTCAATGTCTTCAAACGATCGAAAGTTATAGCCTTGAATAGAAATAAATGGGATCAGGATATTTGGAGTGGCTATCAAGCATATTACGGCGTCAGATTGCTCACCGGTGAAGGCCATCTCTGGAAGCATAAGCAAATCGATATCATTAGGTTTGATCCTACAGAACACCCCCATCAGATTCCGGAGAGTGATCCCTGGCGACGGAAGAAAAGATGGATTCAAGCAGTCACGTACGAGGAGATAAAGCTGTTGGCTCTGATGATGGATTGCTCTGGCTGTTTGAAGACAGGCTCTAGCTGAAGAAGTGCGATCTTAGTTGTGCGGGCCATGATCTGAGTGGAAAAGATGCGCAAGTCAATGTATCAAGGGGTTTGCAGAAGCTTCGTGCAAGGAAAGATGCCCTGAGAAAAGAGGATCAGACGTGTCTAAGGTTCTGGTGATTGAATGGACTGGTAGATTTTTGTCTGGGGCAGTGGGTTGATGATGACTGGGGAAAGTGAGGGGGCAATAGGTTTTTATATGTACGCGATTCACCTGGCCAGCGGGCAGATAGGATTTGCGAAGCTTGGATAGGTGGACAAGCCGAGCCAGCCTACATACAACGGTCTAGAATTAGATCCAAGCTCCGAAAAGTTGCCCAACCTTCTCCGAAACTGCTCTGATGCGCCAGACTGCCGACGATGATCCAGAAGTCACGCGTAGGAGTCTTCTGTAGCTGAAACCTGATTTTTAAGCTACAGAAAGAAGTAACGCCCATCTATTAAAAGATAGATATCGGCACATACATATTTATGAATGCGAACGCGGTCAACGATATGTATGTCTCAGAATCTTGAAGGAGATCAATGCCGTCCCCATCCAGATATATCGATTGAGGGTCGAGATCGTTGAGGGAGCGCAGGTAAATCCTGTTGCACTAAGTGCCGGCCAGCCACATGGGCAATCCATGGCTCCGTTGAATGAGAAGCAAGCCAAGCATGAGGGCTTAGTTGAAACATTAGAAAGAGTCGTAGGAAATCCTATCGCTGGAGTATGTAGGAGAGCTGAAAGTGATAGACATCATTCCGCATGATTCGACGCCACAGAAGGTAGCTGGCAGAGCAGAAGACACCCTGTTATAATACATTCAATAACTGTTTAGGAGCTATCTCGTCCGGCTTGTAACAGGAGGCTCTTCGGAACCGCCGGCGATCCTGTCGGGCGACGAGAAGGTTCAAGCCAGCACGCTCACGTAGGACTATTAGGCTCCGTGACTCCGGAGTCCGGTCGCGCTGTTTGACTTTGTTTGAGTGTTTGTTTGGACTGGAACAGTGGAACGTATCAGCAATCTTCATTAGTTTCCTCTCTTCTCTCTTTCAACTATTTTCTATTGAACTTGAAGCGTGTTATCTTCTTGGCCAACAAACTATATAATAACGACCGGATTATTTCAAAACATGCTTCACAAATCAATTGGAGTCTCTCCCCCTTATTCATTTTATTTTTTACTACATGCTAGACTGGAGGTACCAAAGACCTGCAGAGAGATCAAAGAAAAAGATCGAGATCTGGCAATCATCACTCTAAGTCGATTGAGAGGGATCAAGTATCAAGTGCCGATCTTAACTACATGTACTTGCTTTTGGACATCCAACTCGAAAGAGAGAAAATAAGGTGCAAGGTTTGGAAGCATGAACAAGCGACAAACGACATAGTAATATCTCTATTAGTTTCTATAACAGAGGGAACGGAATGATTTCCACGAGCTTTAGGAGTAGGACATGTCATTATAGGAATCCAAAGGGTGAAAAAAGAACAAGATAGAAAAAAAGGATGGCCGAAGCGAGAGAGAAGAAAAAAAAGCAGCTCCAAAGAATGACCAGAACAAGAGAATGGCAAGCAGGACTGTGCTCAATTCTTAGGCTTTTTACGCGGCTGAAGGACATTGACTTGGGTCCTTTTTTGATGCTCTGAGGAAGGGAGTTCTTGAGCGCCATTCATGTTACGATCGACATCGTTCTTGAGTCCATTATCCACATAAACGAGCGAAAAACATCCTCCAAAGTTTTTGGAATCAGTGGGAGGGTTAGGTGATTCGGGCGTCACTTCACTCTGCGTACACTCCTGATTTTGATTACCTGCAGGTTCCGTCAACTCGCCAGCGATCTTCTCTTGGTTTCTCTCTTCTTCTAACTTCCTCCTCTTCTTCTCCAAATACTTCTCTACATACACCGAATTTATAGCACATCTTATATTCCCAATCCATCCCGAATACGCATTCGTCAAATTTTCTAATGTCGAATAATCTTTATTGTGAATCTGTTTTTGTTTTTGTTTTTGTTTTTGTTTGGAACAAGAAGATATCAGTCATTATCTTCACAAAAATCTTCTTTCAAAGTTGAACAAAAAAATAGAGGCATTACATAAGACCAAAGGGAAACCCAAACGTTTCGATGAACTGGGACCATTTTATGTAGGGTTGTGTCAGACTCAGTGAGATGAGTAGGTTTGGTAGTCCCACTCGCGCCACTTGACGAGACGCTTTGAGGATCTTCATGACGGGTTGCGATGTGCGATGTGGGGTTCTTAGTAGAAGATTGCGCGAGGAGAGCTGAAGAAGAAGAAGAAGAAGCGGCGGCGGCGGCGTAGGTGTGATTAGGATTTGATCGGGTTAGGGAGAGGACGAAGAATGCGCTCAGACGGCCGTCGCAGCACTCCTGTCGACCGCCCATCCGATCCCAAAACTCATCTGCAGTGACTTGATTGATCTTGGTCCGTTCGCGATTCCGATCACTTTCCAACGAACTCGACGATCGTTCGACGATCGCATCGTCCCAATCACCCGGCTCACCCGACGGATTCGTCGAACAATTTCCAATCGAGTGCAGGAATCTCGCCTTCGGGTCATCGTTGAATGCCGGGATCAACTCCGATAATATGGGCACTCGTGCTTTATCGCTTCCTTGATGGTTGGCAGTTTCTTGAGAGTGCTGATTGGTGGGTGCAAAAGGGGATCCGATCTTGTTGTATGGATGCCCATAATTCCATAATGCTTTCAATTCAGATGAAAGCGGCAAAACCTCGAGCGATTCTTGTTGATCAAACCCGGGCAGGATGTAAAAGCATTCCAAAGGGTTCTTAGCTTTGGCAACTTGATGATATCCGATCGCAAGTCGGGACAGAATTTTATGCCACCATTTAACCAGCTGTTGATCATCCAATATTCGTTTACCAGCCGGTGGTCGTTTGGAGGTTGGAACGACTCCGGGATCCAGAGTGGACGAGTTCTTTGTTGCGAATCTAGCGCCATCGCCTGTTCCATTGGGTCGGTTTTCGGCGCTTGCTGGGAACAGGTATTGACCCTCTCTTGCGGCGCGAGCAAAGATGTGAATCCTGAGACTATGGATCGATCTTGGCAAGTGTTGTAGGAAATGGTTCAGAAAGGCGATCGTCAGGTGAGCAGCGGGAGCAGGGTCAGGGGCAAGTCCGGTGGTATCGATCTTTGAGATGTAGAGAAGTTGGACGGAGGTTGTGGGGATGGTGTAGAGGGATGCCTCTAGGGCGAAGACAGGTACGGTGACTTTCGGACGAGGCCAAGCTGAGGTATCCGGACGGTAATCTTCGAATTTCTCCGCCAACACGATCAGATAGTCTGTCCTCATAATCGACACCGTGGGATCGGGCGCATGGGGGAAAAGAGTGTGGGTCCGAAAGGGCTTGGTCGATAATGAAGTCAACTCGAAATCTCGAGGGTTGACTTTATCCGTCGGTACCGATTGGAGGGCTTGTTTGAGCGATTGGTGGAGCGAAGGATGTGGGGCCATTGTTGGATCTTGTTGTCTAAAGGGCTTTTTTTTTCAGGACAAAAGTTGAGGCCCCTTGGAGATCTGGATTATTTACAAGATCCCGCGAATCCGACTGGGGTTCCTCTATGATTCAAGCCAATCAACCGCAATATATTCCACGCGAAACGTAGATGATGATGATGTCTGGAAACGCGTTCAGGAAGACGAGATGGGTAGAAAGTAATACCAGTACCCTGTTGACTGTCCTGAGAGAAAAGATCATTGGTCAGTCGATGGTAGGTGAAATGCAATGGGAGCTGTATGATTATATGTTGGGACTTACGTTTCCACTCCCTTGACTGGTTTTTTTTTCTTTTGTCAAGTTGTTTGCGAAGACTGAGACCAAACTGGACTGAGTGTGGTACTGGTAGGAGCAGCTTGACTCCGACTGGTCAAGAGCATCGCATACAGTGTCGGAGAGACCCCGCTCAAGCTTGCCAGGGGCGCGCCGCGGGTGCCAGACTCAGCCGATTTATTTCACGGGCTCACTCGACTCGAACTTAACACAAGCCCCTTTCCCTTCTCTCCTGTGGAGTCACCTGCGCCGACCGAACTCGAGAGGCCTTGATAAGCTCGACTCTGACTATGCTGAGTGGAGGGCCCTGCTTCAGCTTGCAGGCGGAACATAGCATGAGAGATGATGGTATTATGTAGTGCTTGAGAGTCAAGAGACACATATTAAATAATGCTTGGAAAACTGAAAGTCAAGAGACAATATGTTGTTATTGTGGGAGGAATCGATAAGCTTGAAAATGAAATAGTCACTAGGTGTGCTGAAATTGAAATATTATGCAGTCGGAGATGAGATTGAGGGAAGACTGCATATTAGGAGTGGTAATAAACCAGCTTCAGCCTGCAACCAGACGGCGATCGCCAGCCGCAGACGAAGAATACATCAGACCAAGCTCCCCCAGTGGATAGCCACGAACTCGATCACAGGCTATAACAGACAGCATCACGGAGCTCTCTCGGATGTTGGACCCGGTAGAATTGGCACATCGAGTTGAGTGCTATCACACCTCGTTTGATCGATTGAGTATGCTCCTCGTCTTACCCTGAACATTCGTTAGACAGGCTTCAGCTCGCTCGATCGCACGAAAGATCCAGGAAGCCGAGCCTGATTTCCAGGTCTCGGTAGCTGACTCCAGGTGAACGATCAAAATACCTTTTTTTCACTTTCTTTTTTTTTCAGGATGGCTATGATGTTTCGGATAGCCGGATCTTTCGGCTGATAATGAGATGGTAATTAAATGGGAATATAGATGGCGAATTCAGATCAAAAGATCTGAAGAGTTGGCAGTCGAACTCAAGAAACAATGCTTCGAAATATTCGAATCTAACATGAAACAGATGTAAGTCTTCCTCTGCTATCATTCAGATTAGATGAATGAAAAGCTGAACATCCTGTGTAATCCCACGAATTTCTGTAGTTATTTGAAGAGCACAGACGGCTATAAACCGAAAGCAAAGAAGAGAGAGTTATTCCACCCGCATTCTCGGTTTCTATTAGCTTCAGGAGCTCATGAGCAGGATGACGGATCGGAGGCCCCCATCGCAGGCTTTCTGATGTGGAGATTCGACTTCGAAGAGTGCTTTAGCACAGAAGAAGGCCAGATTGAAGTCGTGTATTGGTTTGTCGAGTTCCCCTAACAAGCCCTGCTCCACTTGTATCACTACAACTGGCAAATTCTTCTGAACCATTGTGCCCTTTTTTTTACCCGAAATCGGTCGCAAATAGTTATGAGATCCAGCTGAAGCCTGAGACCAGGGGCAAGGGGCTGGGAAAAGGCTTGATGGAGATTCTCGAACGGATCGGCGCCAGTTGGCAGATGAAGAAACTCATGCTCACTGTCCAAATCGGTACCCATCTTTCTCTCTCTCTCTCTTTGTTTGTAAACGAGCCGCTGGAAAAAACTGACTAGAAATCTCTCTGATCATACTCCTGCACTGAAGAAAATGCGAAAGCCATCAATTTCTATCGCTCCTTGAAGTGTGTCTTACATCTCTTCCCCCTCTTTCTCGTCATCATCATCATCATCCGTCTCATAAGTTACATTCCTAGTTGCCTTGTCAGCTCTCTTCGTGATCTTGGCTAATCTTTTTTTCTTCTTCTTCTTAGCTTCCTCCCTGATGAGATTTCTCCCTCACAAATAGTCGATCAGCCTGAAGGAGAAGCGAAAGCAGACTACGAAATCTTGTCAAAAGCTTTGCAACCTTCTCTTTCAACCCAAACATAATTCCATCTTTACTATCTGATGGGGCATGTTGTACTTGACATAGTGATCAAAAAAAATAATCCCAAGTTCAAGCTTGTTTGATGAGCTAGATTATAGATATATATGTAATGGTACTAGGTTATTTCCACATCTCCACATGCAGGAAGGTCACCATAATATGAACATCGCAAGAGTCGATGGCCAGCGAGGTACATAAACCAGTGAATTGTGGAATTTGCATGGATGTTGGTTCTTTTCTTTCCTCTTCTCTTTTCCAATGGACACTCAAGATTTCGCAGCTTGAAAGACTTGAAACGCTGTCACAAGATAAAACCGGCTTTCTGTCGGCCTTTTATGGCTTTTTCTGGGAAAACTAAAAAAAAAAAAAAAGATGAGTCCCTTGGAAGCCCCATTCGAATTTAGTACATTTGCGATGGCTCGATCTGGGTCCCCAACCGAACCCGAACCCGAACCGGGCCGAGAATAGATGGGTTATAAAGTCGGCCGAGACGTCTGAGGCTGAGCAGTGTAAAAGCATTGGGACATGCGTTGTACTCCCCTTTGGAGCTTGGAGAATCGCCCTGCCGCGATTTATAACCTTGCGGGAGTTGAATTCATCATCATCCAAGCCTTCCCTTTTTGTTTCCCATCTGGACATTCCCCCCCCCCAAATACCCTCCAACTGACTTGTCGTCTTTGAACTTTTTTCTTGATCAATTGATTCAATGAGCAGAAGCAGTCTATTGCGGCACCTCTTGCCTGATTTTGAACTCGAAATCCTTCAAGAATTTGATGAGGGATAACTCTGAAATCGTCGTTGATCATGCCACCAAACATCTTTAAGCCCGAGTTGTTGATGGTTGAATTGCCGTTACCTTGGACTGTAAAATTACTGGGAGGATTTTGTACATGATTAGTGTTCGTTGATCACTCGATCAAATGCTTTCATTGATCTGAATGATTCTGATTCATGTATTCTGACTTTTACATGAATTAAGCTGGACTACTCTACGGGATTGGAATGTTTTGGACTCGACGCTGCAAGTAAAAAACGAAAGAAAACAATAGTGTTTGGAAAAAGCTAGAAGCTGAAGATGAGAAATCGACGAACCAATACACGACTTCAATCTAACCTTCTTCTGTGACTGCTAAAGCACTCTTCGAAGTCGAATCTCCACATCAGAAAGCCTGCGACGGGTGCCTCCGATTCGTCATCCTGCTCATGAGCTCTTGAAGCTAATAGAAACCGAGAACAGGGGTGGAATAACTCTCTCTTCTTTGCTTTCGGGATTTGAATTGTGTGTTGCTTTCCATAGACGTGAAGTAAGAGAGTACTTCTGGGAATACAACAAACAACATGGAAACGCAATAGAGGGTGTCCTGTCCTGGGTTGGTACCGACCCAGCCAAATCCCACAACGCACGCTCCTGAAAAACCCAGTGTGGTGCTCTGCAAGTTTTGAACAACTAGACGGTTTTTCAGACCCCGGAATTCGAAAATTTCATACGAGCTTAAAAATGGGCCGGAAGATCCAACATGAGGAGGGAAGACCACAGACGTACTGTACTTGTTGGGTTCACCATTGCGAAAAGCTTGAGCCGCTACTTGCGTTGTATTATGAAGCAGGGAACCGCTGCCACTGCTGCCCCCGTTTTGGTCTCTCCGGTCTAAAGTCAAAAGGACATATTTAAGTCAGATTACATATAAGCAACCAAGCGAGCGATTAATTGATATTCAAGAATCATATTTACACTCAGCTTAGTTCTATCACAACACATAGCAGTCTGGCCTATTGTGCAGGCACCATCGGTCGCGTCTGGTAAATCGCATCAAAATTAGCAGTCGAACAGTCAAATTTCACCCCGGTCAGTTGCAACCCTGAGATGCAGAGAAAAGAAAAAAAACTCACGAAGTCTAGCTTTCGCAACTCCTCCTGAATGATTCTGTCCGCAAGCATGGCGGAATTTAGTCTCATCACAAGCGCAAACCAGTGCAAGCTTGAGAGTCAACAAGATAAATATCGATTTGATAACGTGCATGTTGGAGGGAGATACGGCTGAAGTGTCAAATGGTTTTGCGCTTTAATTCTAGATGGAACAACAGCCAATGCTTTTGAGTCGAAGGAAAAGTTGTCGAAAAAACTGTTCCGGGGGGGGGGGGGGAATCGCTGTGTGCCAAGTGCTAGAAAACCTTGGACGACACTTGGCTCTATATGTATCCAGATTTCTTGAGTAGAAAAATCTGCTTGCCAGAAGAACCAATTACCCATACATTATCCTTATGTAAGCTAAGAAACCTCATGTTAATGAGGCGCTTTCTGTCGCGTTTATACAGATGTCTGTATGTACAGGTTCCGATTCGGCTGTCGAGGCCTCAGTGGGGGTCCGGATACCTGCCAGCTGCTGGGCAGGGGCCGGCAGGGGCTACCGGGTGCCACTTCAAAAATGGAGAGGGTTATAATGCTCCAACTCCCATATCTAACAATGCAGGATTTGGGTTGTAGCACGTGGAGTGCCGTGGCCACACAGGGTCACATACAGGAGAAAGTTGTGCTAAAAAATCGGGGTGTGAAAAAAAACCTTCCAGGATACAGCCATCCCAAAAACGCAAGCTTTTTGGAATTGGTTGTATATAGGCATGCAATCATGTGGAAGTACCAGACTGTGTAGTAGGAGGTAGCCAGGCTACATAGCTTTGTGCTTTGTGGATGAAGGAAGAACCCGTGAAGTTGGGATATGTCTGTGCTTCTTTTGTATTTTTTACTTATAAGAAAAATAGATAAGATGAGAAGCTTGCAAAAAACAACAAGACAGGATGTCAAAGGGACAAGATTGAGTAAGCCCAATGAGGAATTGATCTTTATTTTATGATTGACTGCCAAAGGTGTTATATCCTCATACCCCCAATCTGCCAAGCTTATCAGGACAACCATGCCACTCCCATCTGGTTTGATAAACCAAGCAGCAAGCTAGGTGGTGCAAGCACATAACTGGTAAGGGTGGGCACACCAAGATTTGAATTGTTTGTTGCTTTCCATAGATGTCAAGTAAGAGAGTACATCTGGGAATACAAAAAACAAAAGGGAAATGAAACAAAGATTGGTATGGAGGTACTGACCAGTGACCTGCCAGACTGCCAAAAAAAACCAAAAATATGGTGGTGAACTGCCAAAGCTGCCAAAATGCCCGCACTGAACCACCACTCAGTCATAAATGTTGTCTGCCATGAGCCGTCATAATTGCTGAGCTGCCATCCATGGATCCCAACCACCATTACAGCCATATGAAACAGCTGTTGTGGTGTGCTGTACCTGTTCCAATGCACAATTTGCGGCATCTCACATATGATTTTCAAATCAAAATCCTTCAAGAATTTGATGAAGTATAACACTTCAATTTTTGTTGATTATGCCAGCACACATCCTTAAGCCCAAGGTGTTGATGGTTGAATTGCTGTTACCTTGGAGTGTAAAATTACTAGGAGGATTTTGTACATGAATGGTGTTTGTTGATCACTCAAACCCTTTCATTTGTCTGGATGATTCTGATGCATCTGCTCACTATTATATCAATTAACCTCTACTATTCTGATGGATTGGAATATTTTGGACTTGACACTGGAGGACTTCCCGTCGCCATTTAGAGTGCTTTTTAAGCCCTCCCCAGTCTTAAATTAGCACCCCAATCATAATTCCAACCAGCTCAAGTGAGAGTTATCTTCACCAGGCTTGCGAAAAAACAATTTTTTATACCAAAAATTAAGATCTAGGGGGTGTAAATTCAATTCTGGGAGGGTTGTAAACCGCGACGGGAAGACATCCACTAGAAGTGAAAAACAAAGTAAATGAAAAATAGTGATTGAAAAAGTAAGAAGCTGCAGATAGAAAGAAGAAAAGAAAAAATGCTGATTGTGCAGGTTTTGGAGCAGACTGCATATTATGCAAACGGTCCCACCAACAATGAAAGATTACAAGATGAGTTGGTTGGACCTTATTCAAGGTCTATGTACAATCTTAGATTTGGTCTTCCATGTAAATGGATTTGACTTGATTGTTGATCCAGCTTTGGGAGCAGATGGTACCAAATTCAATTTGAGTGGTTGGAATAGAAGTTGATGAGATTTGAAGGATGTCAACATGGTGCTTGCCAGAAGGTGGCGGCAAAGAGATTAGGCCAATGACAATGCCATAGTTGTGGTTTTTGTTGCTGTTTTGTGGGTAAGATTTTTGATTCAAATTAATGACACAGAAGGATTCCCAGACATGATTATTGGCTGCTTGACTGTTGTTGGGAGGAGTTGGCAGATCAAACCAAAGCAATTTGAATGGCTTTTGCCCATCTTCTGGTGGAATTTCTCCATGAAGGACAGCTGATTGGACATCAAATTGGATGACAGAGATGTGGTCTTGAGGGCTGTTTACTAGCTTCAGATGCAAAGGATGCTCAAATGCTTGAAGATTTGGTCTAATGAATGTTTTCTAGTTCTATGGAAGATGTGGGCAATTTTGGCTGGCAAGAACTCTTGGTTTGGATCATAGAGTTCTGCAGTAAGTGGTTTGAGGAGCTCAAGATTTAGGAAACTCAAGCTTTGGTTGTGGATGGGTTTTCTGGTTCTTCCTGGGCTTGTGGGCTTGGGTGTTGGAGCAGTGTCGCAAGTGATAACAATGACTGGTGCTTCATGGAAGTGTTTGGCATGGTTTTTGGGTGGTGATCTGTGATTGCCAGTAGAGAGCTTGGCAGATGATCTGACCCTCCTGCTGGGATTTCTTTGGTTTGATTGTGAGATATCTTGATTATCATCAGATTGATGGGCAGAACTAGAGGAATCTGGAATAGTCGCTTTGGTGTGAGTACTTGGTCCAGTATCAGCATGTTCTAGCATGTTCTTGCAAGTCTTCATTGAAGAAACCTTCCAAGATCAAAGCCATTGAGCTTGCATTTGTTGAAGTGCTTTGATCAGCATCCACCAGTTCTTGCAAGTCCTCAAAGATAGCTTCCAATAGAAGAGCATTTGGAGATTTCAGAGTGAAGCAGATACTGAGCTCAGACTGCTTGAGTAGCTGAAGATAGTTTGTGAGTTAAAGTAAGAAACTAGGAGAAAGAACTTTGTTGGAGAAGTCTAGAAATGCTTGGATGTTTTGAGGTATTTGATCTGCATGAGGCTGTCATTTTGCTTCCTGAATCAAGAGTGCCCATCCAGTGCAGGATGTTGGTGGAAAATTGAGTGGGGTGTTGTGTGAGAAGGAGGACAAAGCCAAGGGATGTGGAGCTTTGGGATTGCTCATGAGGGGGTTCATGTTTGAAGAGGTTCCAGTGCCGCCATGACTAGAAGTAAATTGGTTTGATAAGGTGTTGGTCACTTTAATCCAAAGATTTGAAAATATCAATTAAGAGAGCTTGCTCAAAGTGGAACAAGGAAATTGGTAAACAAGGCTGTCCTTGAAGACATGTAGAGATTAACAAAATGAAGATGTGTCTGGTGAGATTCAAACTCACAACCTCAGCAATGCTGAGACACATACTAGAGTTCTGCCTTTACCAACTAGGCTACAGACGCTTGTGACTGCCAGGGTAGTTGGGTGGTAGTGCTCATGGTTCAACATGTAGTGATAAATCATGGTAGCAGACTATCAGACACCTCAACAAGACATTCCTGGACTTCAACACAATAACCTTTCTGGTTAAGTTGTGAGGGCTAGGAGGGGAGCCCAGAGCACCTCAGGCACCATGGCAATACAACCAGTGTCTCCTGCTTTCCCTACCAACACCACACCAACCACTTCCCCCATTAACACTCATAACCTCACAATTCAAATCATAAGATCTTCTTGTGGGGTATTGTACCAAGAATCTCAATCTTGCAGATTGGGCCTGGAGTTTGTCTTTGATAACTCTCATTGAATTCCTGATGGCCCAGCATCCAGAGTCTCTTCCACACTCCCTTGTGTGAAGACAAGACACACCCAGACAACAATTTGTAGAGATCATTTGTTTGTACTTGGGTACCTGTTCAATTTTTTAAGAAAATAGGTACCATGTACCACACCTGGCACCGCCCGGCAGGTACCAGAAGTACTTGCCCCTTCTTTCTCACTTAGTTTTGCTTCAAGTTTCATTACAGTCCTTTTGCATCTTGTTTGAGATTTTTTGGATTTTTTTTGACTATCATTTTATTCTAAAAACACAAAAAAACAAAGTCAGAAACAATTGCTGCCTTCAAGTGGTTTCAATAAGAAAAAGGGCCTTGAGGCTGGGGGGAACCCCTCCCAGCAAGAAGACTGTACATTCTTGAGGCCGGGAGGGGTTCCTCCCGGCCAGGTTTACCTGAAGGAAAGACCTCCGGTCAACAATTGTGTACCTCTTGTTGAACCAAAGGGTTTCCTTCTGGTCAACAAGGATGTACCTTGTTGATTGGAAGGAAACCCTTCTGATTGACAAGGCACATTGCCTTATTGACTGGGACATGTACAAGGAAAAGGTGCATCTTGTACATGTCCCCATGTTGGAATGATGTATGGTTGAAAGTCAACCTGGGTTTTTGTTCATCTGGGTCTGACTCTACATCACCCACATTTTGTCTTTTTTCTGGGGTCCTACTCTTTCCATTAGCCAAGAGAAAACATTTTTTTTGCTTGTAGATATATTTACAGCCATTCCAAGAAAACTTGCTGTTTGGGAGCCAGACTTTTATTTTTAATTTTTTTAGATGCTGATACAGCCCTGTATATTGACTGGATATCTTCCAATTCAATAGTGGGGTTCATATTTGAATTTTTTGCTTCTGACCCTTGTGAAACCTACACCTAGTACAGGTTTCACAAGAATTTTACATATTATTACATAATTATAATCTCAACAGTATACCTCGGGCGCAGTTCGACGTGGGCAGACACCATTTTTTTCGGTGGATCCCACGGGTGGCCGCTGCGGCAGGTCGGACCAGCAGCTGATGGTCCACAGTTTTGCGTGGACTCCACCCCTGCATCCATGTCGGCAGCAGGTGGAAACAAGGAGGTGTCCCCGTGGAGCCTGGATTAACCAATCTGTGAGATTGGGTGCCGCCAGGCGGCCTGCCAAAAAGACAGTGCAGGTACAGATCAAACACACGACCAGGTGCCAGCGCCAAGCACTGGCGCTTTGCCGCTCAACTATCAGCAAGTTGAATGTCAACCAACTTTCTATCATGAAACACGCTCACCCCCCTCCTTTTTTTAACTCACGACAAAAAAAAAATATCAAAGTTTTTTTTTTGCAAACCAGTTTTCTCAAGTTTTCAGAATCTCAGGACCCACATCATTGGGTCCTGATTGGAGCCGACACAAATGTCAGTCGGCGTGGAATCAATGTGAGTAACAAGCCCACCTGCTCCACATCGGCTTGGATTTGGGTTCGTGGAATCAATTTCAAAAAAAAAGTCAGTTCGTGGAACCGCCGTTGAAATCGGCTCTTACCAAACACTTACAGAGCCGATCTCGTTGGTTCCACGGATCGGCCAAGTTTTGTTGGTTCCACAACCCCGCGCGGTACGAAATGCCCCTGGGGTGTACTTAGAGCTTCTCCATCACAGTCTGTATATTTGGGTTCCTATTGGGTGAAAATAAGGACTTGGAAATGCAGATAGGGACTCACAGACTTGTTCTGCCACACCAGGCAGTCTGTAAATCAACATGACATTCAAGTATCAGTGCGGTGTTGACAACATGCTACATGAGGTTGTGGTGTGTGCTGTGTGACAGTCACGTTGAGGTGTGCTGTGAGTGCACAATCCTTGGTCCCTATCCAATCCCTGGATCCAGGGTCTGGAGAGGGACCAAGGATGAAATCCATAAAATACGGATACAGATGGGGACCATGGTGGGAGTTAATTTGTGATCTCTGGTCCCTAAATGCGGGATAGGGACCGCAATGGAGATGCTCTTAGTCCCTTTCTCCCCGTTCCCCTCCTAGCTCAGTAGAGACCATCTGACTTCTTTCACTACTGAGCTAGGTGAGTAGATTTCAGTTTCATATTTCTTTTATATTATTTGATTCTTATTTTACAAACAGTAGAGACCATCTGACTTCTTTCACTACTGAGCTAGAAATAAAACACACAGCGGTTCTAGAATTGGTCTCCACAAAGCATTTGACCTTTGTTTCTAGGACATACTCTGTTGGATGGTGAAGGATCAATTGGATCCTTACAACCCTACTTAAAATTTGTTCTGGTCGCTTTGTTTTATTGTAAAATTGAGAACTTGCTGATCACCTTCTAGACATAACAACTCAACTGAGGAACACCTACATGTTGCTGAGGTCTTGTGCATACAGGACCCAAAAAAAAGATCCTGAGGTCCTTGACTTGATTGGTCACATGCTGGTGAAGTGAGTCACAAAAAATGTTTAAATTGCTTATTTTATGGGTTTCTGAGGCTCACTTAACTTGCATCTGGAAAAATTCCAAATGTGAACCCCACTAATGGCTGTAAATTGAATTTTGTGTAGAGGCCCAGATTGGTGGAAGTGGGGATAAGTAGACTCAGGCTACGGATCCTAATAAGGTCAGACCTTGTAAGTCTTTGGCATTTCTGTTGGATCTGATTCCACCAATGAGTTTTTGGCAAACTCATTGTTTTTTTCCCTTAAATTTCTCGGATTGTGACAGTTGCAGGTCAGCAGATACGGGAAACTGGAAGCCATAGTCAAATACCTCCGTTGCTGACATGGGCCTGTTATTACTGATCAAGGAGCTTGAACATTATAAAAAAAAACATGTCTGTGCAATCTATTGAGACTGAGTCTCAGAGGGCAACATTCTTTTTCTCCTCTCTGTTTGAACATCCAAGTGCTTGTGCACAATGGACCTCCTTCCTCCTACATAGTCACCCACCCCAATCTGGGCTTTGTTCAAAAAATAAAGCAGTTGATCCATTCATATTTTCCTGGTAGACTTATTTTCCATTGATAGTCCATCCATTAATCAAGCTCCTGTGTGTTTGCTTTTTTGAGGGTGGATAAAGTGGCATGAATTGATCGATCGAAGTTCCCTCAAGTTGAGCTGATCATACATACATACACAAGTCAAGACGAACGTTTGGAAGAGGCCCAATTCAATATCTCCCAAGAGCTAGGACTGAATTTTTGAAAAATCCACTCAGGACTGAATTCTTGAAAAGTCCACTTTGGCTGCCAATTGTCATTCAAAATAACGGAAGATAGGCCTAGGGGGGACATCGACAGCTTTTCCCTGGCTTCGAGAGGCTGATGCCCATCAGGGCACGAACAATCAAATATAACGCTGTGTGGGTTAACCGTACGAGTACGAGCAACACTTCCGCATTGACAGAATTTTCGGGGTCTTGAGTATCTAGGTCTTTTTTTTTTTTTACTTTTTGTTGCGTGTTTCATCTATCTAAATCGTGGTGTGGATCATACTTGGCCACGCATTGTCAGATTATGGACATTCGAGCTCCGACTCATTATGATTTTAGAGAATGCCAAGTTGTGGAAAAGGGGGACGGTAGACAATTCAACAATTGAGTAGGCGAGCTCATTTTGTGTAGCACGTAGGCACAACCGAATTCCAAACAAGTTGAGCTCAGGGCGATCAAGATCAGCAGGACTTCCAAAGAATCCAAAGAAGGGTGCTTATATGATCCACATTTCACACAAGAGATACCGACAGTTGATTCACGATCGAGATTTTTTTTTTCAGGTCAAGAGAGGAGAGCGAGAGCAAAGATGCATGGATCGACGGGGGCTCGTGAACTGGAAGGCAGTTGAATGTAAGTATCAACAGTACTCAAGAGACGATCAAGTTTAGACCCCCAAGCGAAACAGCGGGTAGTAAGTAGCTAAGATGGGATGACGATGGGGGGCTAGGAAGAGGGACAAGTAACAAGTGAAGAATTCCCTCTTAGATCCCACGTGTCCGACCTCGACCACGCCCTCGGCTCCTTCCTCCGCGCTCAACAGCGCCACGTCCCCTACCCCGACCACGCGCATCACCGTCCTTCTTCCTGTTACGAGCCAAAGAAATACCGATAAATGGGGAGTCTTATTTCAGAGGGGGGAAAAAAAAGAGGGGGAGGGGGGAGGATAGAGATCTGGGAGGAGACGTACTTCTTGGGCTTGGGTGCATCATCGATCAGTAATGTGTCCAGCGGAAGAGAGTCGGGAAGAATGATGTATCGGACGTTCGAGCCTCGGATCGAGAGCGAGTCGAGCTGCACGGGCTCCCGATTCCGGACGGTCATCTTGACCGCCTTAAGATGCGTGTTCATCGCCACATCCACACCTAAATATGTATAGAAGACGTGCACATACAAAGAGGCGAAGTATATTAGAGATGAGGCTCGGGTGGTGGGATGGTAAGGATAGCTCACGGACCAGAGATCGTCCCATGGACTACCGTCCCGTTCTTGAGCTCTATCGTCACCGTCTCTTGGTTGAGCCTATTTCCAGTCAAAGATCGCAAGTTAGGTCAATTCTCAATCAATTCTTTGCTTGCTCGGAATCGATCGACCCAGCGAATCAATATGAAAAAAACGGCAAATCGATCGACCAATTTTTCTTTTTTTTTTTTCGTTGGATGTTTCTATGAATTGAGGATGATGATCGAGTGAAAAGAGATCGTTCAAACTGACTTCATCAAAAACCTACAGAGGGCAAGAGAGAAGGTTAATTCGGAGCAGCGGTGGATAATAGCAGAGAGCGAAAGAACGAGGGACGGACCTGATCAACTTCATCCTGAAGAGAGAGAGCACGCGTCGACAGAATGGCTGGGTGGTTTTAGAGTGAGGGGTCGACTGTGTTGTTTCAAGGCTCTTGTCAGCTTCAAGGGTTGGTTGGCGGACGATCGATCGGTGGTGAGGGGATGCCTGCCCGGGCGCCCGGTGGCTGGGGCTTGTCGGACACCCCCTCCTGGGCTTCTTTCCCGCGCCCCCTGTGCTACATACACTCTTTCCGCAGCTCATGTGGCCACGTTCACGGTCAGTTTGACTGTCAAGACTATTCCCCCCTCCTTGTGATCAAGTCCATCTAATCAAGGAACGTAGAGAAATACTAGAGAATAATGGGTATATATATACACACACTTTGCATAGCACCATCATCATGCTCGTTTAAACTCCTATTCTAGTCAAAGTTGCTCTAGGGAGTCGAAAACCTATGCAATTTGAATGTTCATTTTCAAGGAACCTTGGGTGCAGATTGTTTTTTCTCCCAAGTGAAATGATAGTAAGAAGCTCAGTGATCTTGTATTATGAACAGAGAAATGTGTCTGGAGGTCTTCCCATTGGATTTACAGGTATTTTAGTTCTTGATTCTGCACCCTGCAAATTATCTATATTTTGAGAGATGGGATCATGATGACAATGGCTTTCTCATGTGCATTTTCCATGGTTGTGATAATTGGGTGTCTTATAAATTTTGGGATTCACGGTGGAAGTATGTAGTGCCCTGTAACTGGTGATGGGCAGTCAGGAAAATTGAGATGATGGATTGCAGCTAGTGTACTGTCACATCACTGTCACCCTGCCACTCTCTCAACTGGTCTGCTGCTGTGACATGTTTTGAAACCTTATCCACTCTGGGCCAGCCTCCTCCCAAAAACCACTCTCGACTCTTCCTCGTCATCACCACCACCACTACTACCACCACCACCAACACCAACAACAACACACAACAACAACTAACACACACCAACAACCAAGAACCAAAACAAAACACTCCTGGCTAACTCTCAACATGCAGCAAGCCCAACAGACTAACCCAAACCAACCACTGCCTCCAGGCTGGGCAGCTCACTGGTCAGTACTACTACTACTACTGCTACTACTACTACTTACTATCACCATACTGATCTCATTCCATCAAATAGGGATGCAGCCGCTGGACGGACCGTATTCGTTGGTCAGTCGATCACCCTTAATTCCAAAAAAAAAGGAAAGGAACTTCCTCAACTAACACTTATCATCATCTCGCTTCTCAACTCACCAGAAACCGCTACCGGTCGCACCCAGCTTAACCCACCCATCATGAGCGCTGGACCCCCTCAAGCTTACCCACAGCAAACACCCGGCTATCAGTATCCTCAACAGCCAGCCTCCAACGGGCTTGGTCCTAATAACCTCCCTCAAACACCCCCTCCTCCCGGTCCCAGTGCTGGGGTCCAACCACCAAAGACCAAGCGGGTCTATGCTGCAAATCAAGCCCAAGCTTACTACGGCGGCGAGGGCGGCGGCGGCGGTGCTGGTCTACCTCCGATGGATAATAATCACTCTTATCAACAGGGAAACCTGCCCGCTTCAGCTCAATTCACTCCCGCCGCTAATAACTTCTTCACCCCTGGTCAACCTCAGATCGGCCAAGCTCCAGCCATTCCTCCCAATCAAGCCTTCCAACCAACCTCATATGACCATCATCAACAGCAACCTCAAGGCTCTCACTATCCTCAACAATCTCAATATCCTACCCCTGCAAACCCTCAAGCTTATGCCGACCCGGTCGGTGACTTATCCCAACAGTTTCAAGGAATGGGCATGGGTCAGAAAGCTGTCCGTCTCCAACATTCGTATATTTTCTCGTCTGCAACCCGAAGATCTCTTTTTTTCTTTCTTTTCGAGCTGATTCGGACCCTTCTGATAATCTCTGTTCTTCTTCTTCTCCTTCTTCTTCAGTATTCATTTTCAACAGCCAACCTCGTCGGGATGGTCCCAAACCCACAGCTGCTTCAAGCCCCACCCCCCGCCATCAGATTGCCACCTGGGGTACGTGATCCCATATCTCCATTGTTTATATGCATTCTCGCACCTTGGGGAACCGGGCTAAGCAAGCTTGTATCTCATGATGATCGAATAGGTTTGTATCACCCAAAACCCATTGGCAAATTCGGATCCATCCTACCAACGCTGTACAATGAACGCGATCCCGACCTCGGAAGGCTTACTGAAGAAATCCAAGATCCCACTTGCACTGATCATCACACCCTACCGATCGATCCAGTCTGGTGAACCAGAAGTACCAGTGGTCACCGATACCGTCATCGCCCGTTGTCGCCGTTGTCGGACGTACATCAACCCTTATGTGACCTTCATCGAAGGCGGGACCCGATGGAAATGTTGTATGTGCAACCTCAGTAACGAAGTCCCCCAGCTCTTTGATTTCGATCGTCTCACCAATCAACCCGCCGATCGATGGCAACGAGCCGAGCTTAACCATAGCGTTGTCGAATTTGTTGCTCCCACAGAATACATGGTATGTTATGTCTTTACCGGCCTCCTCAAAAATTTGATCTTCTCATCTCTTATCTTCTCTCTCATCTCCCAGGTCCGCCCCCCTCAAGCCCCGACTTATGTCTTCTTGATCGACGTCTCGTATGCCGCCGTCTCCTCTGGAATGGTTGCAACCGCTGCACGGACACTATTAGAAACTCTCGATCGTATCCCTAACGAAGAGAGTCGCACCCGGATCGCGATCATTGCCGTTGATAGCTCGTTGCATTTCTTTTCATTGACTGTGCGTTTACTCACAACACCTACCTATGATTATTCAGGTTGCATTTTCTGACCTTTGCCAAACTCACACCTTCTACCACATTTAGGCAAACAGCTCGGAACCTAGTATGCTCGTCGTTGGTGACGTCGAGGATGTCTTCTTGCCCATGGCTTCAGACCTTTTGGTTAACTTGACTGAGACTAGACCTGCCATCGAGACTCTGGCTTCTAAACTTAACGACATGTTCAAGGACTCTCATTGTATGGGTAACGCCATGGGCCCTGCTCTTCAGGCAGCCTACAAGTTGATTGTCAGTTGCCCCCCCCCCATCCACCATCCTGTCACAGACAAAAATTGACTCATTTATCGCTGCTATTGACTTTAATTTAACGCCTATACAAAGTCGCACATCGGTGGGAAGATCATGGTTCTCAGTGCTAGTTTACCCTCGTTAGGACCAGGAGCGCTGAAAGCTCGAGAAGATCCGAAAGTTCTAGGGACGTCTAAGGAGTCGAGCTTACTCCAAGCAGCGACAGGATTCTATAAGAGCTTTGCCATCGATTGTTCTCGCTCCCAAGTCTCGGTTGACATGTGGCTGTTCTCCTCGGTCTATGCCGACGTGGCTTCGCTCAGTTGTTTGCCCCGCTATACCGGCGGGAATACGTACTTCTATCCCGCCTTTAATGCTGCTAGGGCTGAGGATGCTCTTAAATTCGCTCACGAATTCGGCCAGGTCCTCGCTAGTCCAATCGCCCTGGAGGCTGTCATGCGTGTTCGGGCCTCTCGAGGCAAGTGGCCACTTTTCAATTCATCTATCTCTCTCTTCTTCTTTACTCATTGTTTCTCTTTCGATTGTTGTTTTTTGTTGGCCATCTAGGTATCCGTCTGTCAGCCTTCCATGGCAATTTCTTTGTTCGGTCTACAGATCTCTTGGCGCTCCCAGCGGTTCCGATGGACCAATCATATGCGATCGAGCTACTGATGTGAGTGAGACAGGTTTCAGTCGAAGGAGATTTGTAAAACCTGACTCTCAAAGCGGTTTTCTTTTTTTCGTGGATGGATGGATAACAGAGAGGATCCGATCAGCATGCCCTTTGTGGTCTTCCAGACGGGAGTCCTCCACACCACTTCCTCGGGCGAACGAAGGATCCGGGTGATCACGACGGCACTGCCGACGACGAGCAGCATCGCCGATCTCTATGCAACCGCCGATCCGGTGGCGATCGCTACCCTCTTGGCTAATAAGGCCGTCGAAAGGTCCATGCAGGCTAGATTAGAAGACGCGAGAGACGCAGTAACTAATAAATTGGTCGACATTCTTGGAAGTCAGTCCTTCTCTTCTCTTGATCCTCTTTCTTCTCAGATACTCACGATTGCTTGGTTCGGCTCATCCGATCTTAGCTTACAAGGCTACTATGACTGCCGCCGGAACTGGACCTAGTCCCCAATTAGTGATCAGCGAAAACATGAAGATCTTGCCGCTCTTACTGCTAGGATTACTGAAACATGTGCGTGAAACCCATCTTCGATAATTTTCCCTCTCGTTTTTGCTTGGCTAATCTTGGCCCGGGGAATGTAGGTTGGATTGAGACAGTCGTCGCAGATACCTAGTGATGTCAGGGCATACGCTCAAGCCCTGTTGACGACATTACCGAGTCAACTACTTGTACCGTACTTATATCCGACGTTATATTCGCTCCACAACATGCCCAAAGAGGTAAGCATCCTCTTTGATTGGATGTTTTTTTTTTTGAGTAGACCTATAAGAGTACTGATTTTCTCTCTCTTGTTTTCCCTTGGGGTTGTTGGGGGTATGTGATGATTCAAGTGTGGGACGGTGGGCGAGCAAGGCGTGATCCTGCCCCCTCAGTTGAACGCCTCCAGCGAGAAACTCGAACGTCATGGCCTCTTCCTCATCGAGGACTCCCAGAATATCTTCCTTTGGGTCGGCCGTGAAGCCGTGCCTCAGTTGGTCAATGACGTCTTCGATCTGCCGAACTATCAGGCCTTGCGTGGTGGAAAGGTCCGTCCTATCTCTCTCATTCTTTTTTTCATTCTTATCCATAATCGCTCATATACACATACATGTGTGTGTGTGTGTTGTTGTTCTGTGGGATGGGGTACAAAGGCGACGTTACCATTACTGGAAAACCAATTCTCGCAAAGGGTGAATGCGATCATTGGGAAGATCCGAGAATCCAGAAGAGGGGCCTATTACCCACATCTCTATGTGGTCAAGGAGGACGGAGAACCGTCGTTGAGGATCTGGGCGTTGAGCTTGTTGGTCGAGGATCGTCAGGACGCCTTGCCTAGTTATCATCAATACGTTAATGCGCTTAAGGACAAGGTTTGTTTCTTCTTCTTCTTCTTACTTGATCGGATGTCTATGTCTATACAGGCTGATTCAGATTGGTTTTTCGGCGCTTGTAGGTTAATAGTGGCTCGTTTTAAGTATCTTTCGGCTGCTTCTGCTCTTTTTCTCGTCTCACAACCGAACATCAATCCCTATCCCCTACCCCAACCTCAACCTCACCAAAAAAAAACTGAAATACTGCAATCGGTCTTCTTTCTTTTTGTTATCTCTTCCCGCTCTCTCTTTCTCTCTTTTATATATCTCTCTTTTCTCTCACCATCATCATCGTCATTCTTCTTCCTCTCTTCTCCTCCTTCTTCTTCTTTGTTATTTGGCTACTTGTTTGTTTGCTTGTTTGTGATTGATTGAGTGAGTGAGTGATTGAAGGGTTTTTCCTTATCCAAACTGGTTTAGTCTTTGTTTCTTTTCTGTGTGTGCTTTGTTTCTTTTTTTTTTGGTATCTACTTTAAAACTCTTACACACATTATCTGAATTCTTATATGTGTCTTATAGAATCAAAGAGGGTGCAATGTGTTGGGAGGAGAGAGGAAAAAGCTATGTGTGGGTGTGGGTGTGGGTGTAAAGGACCCATAGGCGGAGCCTGAAACAACAAAGCGTGACTATGTAGGCGTGCGGACTTGTTGTCACGTTCGCCCATAGGCACAGGTGTTGGAAAATGCACACCACTTGGGCCAATCTTACTTGAGCAGTCCTTCCAAAGGAAGTCACACTGAATAAGTTTGCACCTTGAACAGGGCTACATCAGGGTAACCGCCATGACAGATATGTACCTCATCTTACCTTCTTTTTGTAGTCGAAGAAATACATATAATACGCAAAAAAAGGAGAGAAATATGGCACAAATGGTGGGTTGACTCTTTCCCCTATGAGCGGGGTCTTGACTTAGGTTAGCTTAACCACTAAAGTATATATGCTGCAATTAGCCATGAAGCCTCAAATCTTCGCCCGGTTTCAGCTCCCGCAACGGTGGCCGACGCCACAGAAGAACTCTCGCCCCGCCGTGTCATGGCAGCCCGGAGTCTATATATAGCTCGGCCGGACGACCGGTGGCAGCGCTGCTTGGCAGCTTCTTGCATTCAAATTGTGGCGTGTATGTATGTACCGGATGGCCAGCCTGGTGGGACTGTGGCTGACTGTGGACAGTGGAAGAAACATAAAGGCAACATATGTAAGACCAGAGCATCCACCGGCAATCATCCTTCGGTGATCGTTTTCCAGCAAAAACATCCCATACTCCGGACTCGCCACTCAAACCTCTTCAGATAACTAGCGCTCTGACTTACAATGTTCAAGTCAAAAGCCATCATGCTTAGAGTGTGCGCGGGGACTGCGATTACTCTTTTGACCTTATCTGTCCAGCTTGTAGTACTAGAAGCCCGACACACTAGTCTGGTGCCGAGGGATGGCTTCGTGAAAAACTGTGTGCGGTTCCTCGGCGAACACTATGATGACAGTTCTAAAATGAGTGGGTTCCAATTTCAGCAGTTTCTGCGACCCGACAATCCGATGATCGATACAAACTCACTGATCCATAATCTTACTTCTAATCATCCACAGTATGCGAGGACAACGACACTGGTTATTTGTGTCCCAAGGATCAGTGCACCTCTGGAGACCTTCCTGGTTCCCATGCAGCTGCACCATGTGAGCTTCAATCTATACCCGTGTATGTCACCAATCAGATCAGTACAATTGTTGAACCTGTTTTTTTTTTGTTGTATTTTTGATTGGATGATCACTACACTACATAGTTTCCACGATGACCTGGTCAGGATGCAAGCGAATTTCATCAGGCGACATTCTTGGGGCAGAGGGTGTAACAGCTAGTCATGCAATATCCGTTCACTTTCTGCCTGGACAAAAAGTTGGTATGTTATTCCTGATCATATTTATCGGTTTGGAAAATCTTCCGAGCAGTCGCTTATAGACACACCTTTACAACCTACCCTCTACAGCGGTCCATGGGTCCCAAAATGGATTGTCCGGGATCTTTGACTTTGAATGCCACTGGAATTCTCCGAGCGATCACAATGCCCGAACGCCTTGTGAGTCAATCGGCAATCACTTCGAGTAAATCCAAGCTCTCAAAGACTTACATTCCCTTTTAAATCCTATCAGATTGTGGGGGCTGCCAGAATTTCTAAAACCTGTCTAACCGGCGCAACCCGACTCGGTGGGAAAACAATGTGTTTTGCGCCTATGAAGGCAGTTGTCTGGTTGCACAGGATGTATCTCTCCGAGTAAACATCAAAACTCATGTAAAACCAGCGATCCGACTCTTATCTTTTCAGGAAAAAGTGGTATACTAGTAACCAAAGATAGGCGAAAAGATGATCCTTTGAAAGTTTTGAATACTGGTATTCTTTTGAAATTCATACAAATGGACCATCACACAAGAAATAAAATCAGTTCTGGATCAAGTTGAGGCAAGAAAGTTCAAAAGAGAACAAAAATTTCTAATGTTTGGCATCAATGGGCCAGTTCTGCTAATGGTAGTGTTAGTGCATTGTTGTAACGTGGTGGAATTCTGCTAAAATTTAGTGCAGTGCAGCAGAATTCTGTCACATCTGGGCTGATGCTACAAGTGAACACGCAGGACCCCAAAATGTGCCTACTGTGCTGCGCTATGGTGCTGAGTTTTGGCCCTGTTGTAGCGCCATTAGCAGCCTGTAGTGCATCGTAGCATAGTAAAAATTTGCTTGAAAAGCACCAACACTGGTGTAGCATAGCAGCCCATCATTGCATTTATTTTTTTGAAATTGATTTATAAATTTTCAAAATCAAGCATACAACACTGGTAATTTTAGGGCCTGTACCATAGGACATGAAAATTCAATTTCTCAAAATTTATCTTGCACAAAATTTTATATTATCAAAATTGACCATAACTGGAAGCTGCTCTTTGGCATGAAAGTGAAGAATTTCAACACCAGATCTCTCCAATTGTTCCCAGTTTTTGTGTAGAGGATGAAAAAATGCCCATTTTTGAAAATTGAACCCTACAGAACAGGCCCTTACTCTACTTGAGTTCAATGGAAGAATTCTCATGGACATGAGTTCTCCAATTAATTTACATCAGTTCAAGCATTGGTTACCAAACAAGTTTCACAATAGCAATAGGGGGGTCTCACCATAGATCTTCACCAGGATTTTTTAAATGATAGAAGAACAATTACACATGCTGTACACATAAGATGATAAGCTACACCTTGAGTCAGCAGAAGTGAGCCACCAGGAAAATTTAGCAATGGAAACACACTGACAAACCCATCTTCTCCTCTTCCTCCTCCTTCTTCTTCTTTGTTATTTGGCTACTTTTTTGTTTGTTTGTGAGTGATTGAAGGGTTTTTCCTTATCCAAACTGGTTTAGTCTTTGTTTCTTTTCTGTGTGTGTTTTGTTTCTCTTTTTTTTGGTATCTACTTTAAAACACTTACACATCATCTCCATTCTTATATGTGACATATAGATTCCAAGAGGGTACAAGGTCTTGGGAGGAGAGAGGAAAAAACTATGTGTGGGTGTAGGTGTGGGTGTGTGTGTAAAGGACCCATAGACGGGGCCTGAAACAACAAAGCGTGACTATGTAGGCGTGCCCTCCTTGACAGGAAGCGTGAACCATGAGGGACTTGTTGTCACGTTTGCCCATAGGCACAGGTGTTGGAAAATCCACACCACTTGGGCCAAATTTGCTTGAACATACTCTTGAGTAATACTTGAGCAGTCCTTCCAAAGGAGGTCACACTGAATAAGTTTGCACCTTGAACAGGGTTACAGGTCTGGGTAGCCTCAGACTGCTTTCAGGCTAACCGCCATGACAGATACCTCATCCTACCTTCTTTTTGTAGTCGAAGAAATACATATATGTACTAGCAAAAATCGAACTTAACACAAGCCCGCGTCCCTGCTGCGGCGTGGTGCACTGTAGCTGCTTGTTGAGTGTGCAAGCACCAGGGACTCTCCCGCAGGGAGAGGACTTGGGAATAATGAGCCATCAGGGCCCAACAGCATCTCCAAGCTTTGGTGGTGGAGGATGTTGTGAGCACTTGCAGACCTCAGTTTTGAACAGGTTTTTTTTTCTTCTTCATAGTTTAAACTTTGTATTTTTCTTTATCAAATAGTCAATTCAGAATCTGAAATATATATCTCATTCATGATCAATAAAATCCATGAAACTTTGAGTTTCATGAATTTCCGTGGCCGCTTACTAGCAAAGCCATGGTTTTTTGGGTGGCTCTTTTTTTCGACAAACCTCTCTTTTTTTCTAATCTTTCTGCCTTTCAGCTCAACCATCCTTAATTTCTCTCTCTCTCTCCCAACCCAACGCATACATGCCGCCCTCCTCGCGCAAATAACCAACGGACACCGTTCAAAATCAAGCTGGCGAGAGGATTCATCGACGGCCGTCGCAACACCCTTTTTGACCACCCATCTTCAGAGATTACAAGAACCTGGACTATTGTTCAACATTCAACGACACATCCAATTGTTTGACGATCGACCATCCAATTGTTCAACGATCACATCTTCCCAATCACCCGGCTCGCCCAACGGATTCGTCGAGCAATTTCCAATCAACCACTTCACATAAGGCTCTCAGAAGTAGAAATAAAGCGGAAAAGGACCCGATTGTGAAGAAGGGATACAACGGAAAAAAATCGGCCATCGTGCTTGCTTTTTCTTTTGTGTTCCACTTCCAAGTCTGGTGATCGATCAACATCCTCCCCTGTAAGGTTTCTCAAAATCAGCCTTCTGATCATCCATTGATATTGAGTGGTACTCACAGCTTTGTCCCACTGTGTTTTTCAAATCCTCTTCAGTCACTACTTTAGAAGCGGAGAGAAACATCCGATCCCAAAACTCGTCGGAAGAGAGTCAGAGACTTGATCTTGATCGGTTCACGATTCCGATTACTTTCCAAAGAGCCAGGCAATCGTCCGACATCTCTCTTCAATCTCTCTCTCTCTTCGACCTCTCTCTCTCTCTAGTTATGTATAGTTTTTTCACAAGTTGTTTATTTAATTAGAGGTATGGCATTATACTTCAACGGCCGATTGGCCAATTAACATTTTAATGGACTGATAGCAAAAACAATAAAGGTCCGATAAAAATACAAAAAATGACCGATTTCAAAAAAAGATAAAAAAAGAAAAAACGGTGCCGGAAGAAAAATGAAGAGACAGGATTGTGGATAAGATGCCAGCGCTCAGCTGGGATAGGGTCATGAGATCGAGAAATTAAACATCGAATTTAAAACTTGAAACAAAGGAATCCTACGCTTATTTCCGAGGAGCTCTTGCGCGGGCTCCTCTGTCTTGGTCATAAGCCTCGCTTGCACCTCACGCCTACGGGTGCTCGCGGGCTTTGTTACGCTCGAGCAAAAATAAGGAGAGAAATATGGCTCAAATGGTTGGTTGACTCTTTCCCCTATGAGTATGTATCAAACTCTTGAAATGGGCACTTTTGATCCGACGGTATGTACCTTCCCGGGGTCTTGACCTAGTTTACCTTAACCACCGAAAGTAAATATGCTGCAATGTTAGCCATGAAGCCTCAAATTTTCGCCCGGTTTCAGCTCCCGCAACGGTGGCCGACGCCACAGAAGAACTCTCGCCCCGCGGTGTCATGGCAGCCCGGAGTTTACATACAGCTCGGCCGGACGTGATGTAACCCTGTATGGGGCTACAGGGGGTTCTCACCTAGCCCCCCTCTAGAGCATGTATATAAGCCTTCAGTCTCATCTACATGCAATACACATAGCTTTCTGCCTTCTAGTCTTCGCATTCCATCAGGACGACCGGTGGCAGCGCTGCTTGGCAGCTTCTTGCATTCTAATTGTGGCGTGTATGTACCGGATGGCCAGCCTGGTGGGAGTCTGGGACTGGGGCTGACTGTGGACAGTGGTCGGTTGGACACTGGTCACGACTCACAGCGCAGCGCTTTGTTTTCATCTCATTCAGATTTGTACATACAAAATTCAATTAGCCGGCTATGCTTCAATAACGCGCCATACATCCTACATAGAGGCACAACTCCGCATCGGCGCTTCTTCCCGGTGGCATTGGGTCCATGTCTCACATGAATCTCGGCTCACACAACAGAAACATGAAGGCAACATAAGACCAGAGCTTCCACCGGCAATCATCCTTCGGTGATCGTTTTCCAGCAAAAACATCCCATAGTCCGGACTCGCCACTCAAACCTCTTCAGATAACTAGCGCTCTGACTTACAATGTTCAAGTCAAAAGCCCTCATGCTTAGAGTGTGCGCGGGGACTGCGATTACTCTTTTGACCTTATCTGTCCAGCTTGTAGTACTAGAAGCCCGACACACTAGTCTGGTGCCGAGGGATGGCTTCGTGAAAAACTGTGTGCGGTTCCTCGGCGAACACTATGATGACAGTTCTAAAATGAGTGGGTTCCAATTTCAGCAGTTTCTGCGACCCGACAATCCGATGATCGATACAAACTCACTGATCCATAATCTTACTTCTAATCATCCACAGTATGCGAGGACAACCACACTGGTTATTGGTGTTACAAGGATCAGTGCACCTCTGGAGACCTTCCTGGTTCCCATGCAGCTGCACCGTGTGAGCTTCAATCTATACCCGTGTATCTCACCAATCAGATCAGTACAATTGTTGAACCTGTTTTTTTTTTTTTTGGTTGTATTTTTGATTGGATGATCACTACACTACATAGTTTCCACGATGACCTGGTCAGGATGCAAGCGAATTTCATTAGGCGACATTCTTGGGGCAGAGGGTGTAACAGCTAGTCATGCAATATCCGTTCACTTTCTGCCTGGACAAAAAGTTGGTATGTTATTCCTGATCATATTTATCGGTTTGGAAAATCTTCCGAGCAGTCGCTTATAGACACACCTTTACAACCTACCCTCTACAGCGGTCCATGGGTCCCAAAATGGATTGTCCGGGATCTTTGACTTTGAATGCCACTGGAATTCTCCGAGCGATCACAATGCCCGAACGCCTTGTGAGTCAATCGGCAATCACTTCGAGTAAATCCAAGCTCTCAAAGACTTACATTCCCTTTTAAATCCTATCAGATTGTGGGGGCTGTCATAATTTCTAAAACTTTTTTAACCGACGCACCCGACTCGGTGGAAAAACAATGTGTTTTGCGCCTATGAAGGCAGTTGTCTGGTTGCACAGGATGTATCTCTCCGAGTAAACATCAAAACTCATGTAAAACCAGCGATCCGACTCTTATCTTTTCGGGAAAAAGTGGTATACTAGTACATAACCAAAGATAGGCAAAGATGTTGTATTTGATTTGTGGCTTTTAGTGCTGTCCCTTTAAAAAGGAAAAAAAAAGATGATCCTTTGAAAGTTTTGAATACTGGTATTCTTTTGAAATTCATACAAATGGACCATCACACAAGAAATAAAATCAGTTCTGGATCAAGTTGAGGCAAGAAAGGTCAAAAGAGAACATAAATGTCTAACATTTGGCATCAATGGGCCAGTTCTGACAATGACAATGGTAGTGTTAGTGCATTGTAACATGGTGGAATTCTGCTAAAATTTAGTGTAGTGCAGCAGAATTCTGCCACATCTGCGCTAATGCTACACTGTCACACATGCCTAACTTGAGACAAGTCCCAAGCTTCTGCGGGCCTGGTGACCTTGGCTGGCTGGCGCCACTCGCGAAGCGAGCCTCCGAAGGAGGGACTTGTGACAAATACACACAAGCTCGCGTGTCGCTATTGACATGTTTTGGTGTAGCAAAATTTGGATTGCCCACCATGCATGTAATTCAACTTTTTTTTCAGGCAGATCCAGCATGGTCAAAGTTGACCATGTTGCCAATCTTCTCAGCAAATTTTAGGGATTTTTCCTGAAATTCAGATGAGTAAGATTTTTTTGAAAAATATGAAAAATTGAAAAAATCAAAGAATCCAAGTTGGGTTCCGAGCCTTGAGAAGCTATTACATAAGCAAAAAGCACAAATCTGAGCGGAAACTTTGACAATTACAAAGTTCCTCTAGAATGTAGTTGTAAATATTTCTGGATAATTCCTTGATTAAAATTGACTTTAGCATCTGGGGCATGCTGTCCCAGATTTTTCCCCTATAAAAGTGTAGAAAGTGATACATTAGAATTTTCTGCGCAAAAAACACCCTAAAAACGCGAAAGCGACACGCGGGTGTGTTTGTTTTGGTCACAAGCCTCTCCCGCACTTTGTGCGTTCGACGGAGAGGCTGAGCAAGCTAGCACACATGCAGGACCCCAAAATGTGCCTACTGTGCTGGGCTATGGTGCTGAATTTTGGCCCTGTAGCACCATTAGCAGCCTGCAGTGCAGTGTAGCATAGTAAAAATTTTCTTGAGAAGCGCCACTAAAACTGGTGTAGCATAGCAGCCCATCATTGCATTTATTTTTTTGAAATTGATTTATAAATTTTCATAATCAAGCATACACTGGTAATTTTACTCTACTTGAGTTCAATGGAAGAATTCTCATGGACATGAGCTCTCCAATTAATTTACATCAGTTCAAGCATTGGTTACGGGGGTTGATAAGCGCAAGCCAACCCCCCTCGTGCACGCCAAACTGCACGCCAGCAGCATATTGGCGTGCGCGTCTGCACCCCAATGCAGAATGGCGTGCAGGCAGGCACGCCAACTGCCTGCAGGGGGTATTACCCTGTGGGTGCGCACGCCAAAGATATGGTCCTAAACCCATATTTATATGGGTTTAGACCGGGGCTATCCCATAGGACCCAGGCATGGGTCCTATAGGATGGCCAACTTGTTTTTTCAAAAAAATGAATAAAAAAGTCTGCTTGAGGCTGGGAGGAACCCCTCCCAGCCCCTAGACTTGTACGGGCTTAAGGTCGGAGGAATGCCTCCAACCTTGAGGCAGCGGTACCAGCGCCGGGAGGAACCCCTCCCGGCGAGCCTGTGTTTGTTCGCCAGCTCGTCGTGAATGAGTTCCTCCCTGCGACCCATT